TTTTTGGTTCATCGTGTTTTTCATTTAAGCCTCTGTCAGAAATTGACTGCTCTTAATGTTTTTTCCACCCCAAAAAAAAGCTGTGAGCTACAAACCACCAAAATAAATTCGGGCCCTCATAGGTCATATCAGAACCGAGAGGAATTAAAACAAACCCAGAGCTCCCCCAGAATGGCCTTCAGCCGGGAAAAAAACATGAAACAACATGTTTTTATAAAGATTACCCCCTTTTGTTATGCCCCCGTGCTCCTTTTTCAAACCCTTTTTAAAAATGCAAATTTATGTTAATGTCACATCAAAAAAAATTCTTAATCAAACCCCCCCTTTACCACACACATTCACCCTCACATGCAATTTCCCCAAATTTAGGACAACAGACAGACATTGGGGCCCCAAAAAAGTTTTTTTACATACAGTATAATTTAGATTTAAACTTTTCTTAAGGGTTTTTTCCCCCAAATTTTAAACCCCCAAAAAAAAAAATCTTTTCACCCGTCCCGGGCTTAAGACCCCTGCACCAGTGCTTTTCAGCCCTTTAATTTTAAGGGGATTTTTTCCAGGGTTTGGGGGTTTAAAATATATGGGGCAAAATTTTTTGGGGGCCTAAAAATTTTTTTGGGGTCACTTAACACCCAAAATAAGTTTTCACACCCTTTATTTTTATTTTTTAAGGGGTCCCCCAAAAATGACCCTGTTTTGAAATTTTTAAATTAAAGAGAAACCCCCCCCTAAGGGGTTCCCGAAAAAATATGTTTTTGTTTTTCTCCCGGGAAAAACCCATTACCCGTTGTAGTTTTTTGGCAGGTGGGCACATAAAGATTCATGGGCTGTATCTGGCCCCCTTATTAAAACCCTAAAAGGACAGTTGCTGCCCTCAAATTTAAAAAATCTATCAATGCGCTGGAAATTTTCAAAAACTACCCCCCCCATAACTAAACAAATAGTGGGATCCCCCGGGCCTCCCTAGTTTTGCTGAAATTTACTTTTCCCTTTTTCTAATTCTTTCCCCGAAAACCCCCACATCATCTTCTTTGCCATTTTTCCCCCCTTTTCTATCCCAAATCACCCCCCATTTTTTTCTACTTTCTGTCCCCGCCTCTCTTTTATCCATGAACCCCAAACCCTTTTTAAATTTTTCTATTTGATGGGAACCCACCCCTATTTTTTAACAGGTTTTTTTGAGTAAAGGGTCCATTTAATCCACCCTTTGATATCCTCAGTGATCGGTGTTCAATTTTAATTTTTCTTTGCTACAGTTTGGGCAAACTTAGCTTGTGTGGGGCCCAACATTTTTTAAATATAAGTCCCGAATCATTTACTCTAAAAAGCCCAAAAACCCAAAACCATTCTAGTGTAGTTTAAATTTGGGAGATGTCTTTAAGGTAAAAAAAATGCTTCTAACTCCCCGGGCCCGCTTGGCTGTGTCGGCCCGGTTTTGCACTTTCTCTCTGTGTCTTTTTCCTTTTCTCTCCTGCCCCTAATGAAGGGGGTGCTCTGTGGGATCCACGTTTGGAGCCCCAATGTTGGGGGGGGGGGTTTTAAAAACACTGAAAAAGTTTAATAATTGAATTTCTTACCTTTAAAATGTTCATTTCAAGACATCGTAAATTGTAAAAAATATCAACCCCTTATATTTTTTTAAACTTTTTTTTATTTTTATCATATCTTCCCCCCATTTCTAAACCGAAATTTGCCCCCTCCCGCCCCATCTCCCCCCTTTAGACTGTCAGGCCCCTAGGGGGGTGCCCTTCCCTGTTCTGTGCCCCTGCTTCAAAAATTGGGGGGGGGGGTTGGGCATTCGCTGGGAAAACTTTATTTACCGCCTCCTCTATTTTAAATTTTGGTTTGGAAAAACCCCTTTTGTACCTCCTTGTCCCAAATTTTTCCTCTGTAGGCCTTTTTTTCACAATTTATGCAATATTAGATTTTCTCATGAAAGGTTTTTTTAAAACCCCCGAAGTTCGAGTGCCTGCCCCACCTCCCTGAGCCCCCCTTTTTTCTCCACCCGTTCCTGTTTTAGGGCCCTTTTCAGAAAAAATTTTTACTAAAAATTTTAACTTTTGGGTTTTTCAATCAAAATCCAAAAGTTTTGTTTCTACTTTCTGGTGTTTGTCCGTCCCAACACAAACCCGCACCAGCCATTTTTTTTTGCGACTTTTTGACAAACTATTTTTTTGTGTATTTCCCAAATTAAAAAAACCCTGTTGTGAAGTGTTTGGAGGTGGGGCCCCCCAAATTTCCCCCAAAAATTCCATTTTTCTCTCATTTTTTTTAACCCCTTCATAAATTTTCTAATGTGGGGTTCTGCATCCTTCAAAGGTTTAACTCGCCATGATCATTTTCTCCCTTTAAACCAGAAATCGCTTTTTAACGAGGTTTTCTGGGGTTCATTTTTAGTCCAATGCATCCCTCTTTCACACCTTCCCCTTCACACAGTGTATAAAAATCAGACCTCGACGTTTTTACGGAGATCCCCCGGGGCTTTTTAAAATTTTTTCCATAAAATTTAGTGAGCCGCTTTTTTTGCTAAGGAAAACGCATTCGTCAAACCCAAATGTGTCCCTCAAGGAAGTTGTTTTTCCTTTAAATGAAAAGGGAAAAAAAAAAAAAGGAAATTTTAAAAAAAAAAAGATTTAATTTTGTTCCGCCCAGGGTTTACTTTCCCCCAACTTTTTGGATTAGACCCAAAAAAGTTTTCCTAATCCGGGCATCAGTCTTTTTCTTTGTTTTTTGAAAGGGAAAATCATTTTATCGTTTTCTCTTTTTCCCTTTTTAAGAGAAGAGAAGGGGAAAAAGAAAAAAAACCTAAAAGGTCCGTTTCCCAACCTGACCCGCTTTCCCTTTTTTCCCGCTCGGGTTTTTTTTGTAAATGTCCTTTTGGGAGGGGATACTGGCAAAAATCCCCGCCGGCTATGTGGGCTGGGTTTTTTGGGCTGGCGTCTGTTTTTAAGAAGTGCATCTTCCCTGTCTGCAGGCAACCGGGAATAAAATCACCGTCCCCCTTTTTGCATGCAGAAACCGTTGGGGTTTCCAAAACCCAATTAAACCTAGTGAGGGAGTATAGTTTTCCCCCGAAGAAATTTGGGGCAGTCGCCTTTAATCGGACTTTTAAAACCCCCTAAACCCCCAGCAGAACGGGGACGAATTTTTTTTCTTTCCCCTCTCCTTTTTTTTCTTTTTTTTTTTTTTTTTGTGTACAGGTTCGCAATGTAAAAAAAAAATTTAAAAAACCAAACAAATACAAAAAAAAAAAAAAAAAACCGCAAAAAAAAAAAAATAAAATCACTCTGAGCAATTTCTCTTTTTTTTTTTGGTTAAAAAACTTCAGCTCCTTCAGAAAATCACAACACAGCCCAAAATGTTTTAACAGTAAAAAAAACCTGGAGGGTAAATTTTTTTTAAAAAGGGAAACTCCTCCCTTATCAGGGTTTTTTTCGGGCCCCAGGCGTGGGGCTTTTTCCTCGGGGGGCTCTGTTGTTTTGCTTTCCAGGCCCCGGGCGGGAAAAACCAAATTTTTTAAAGTGAGAAGGGTTTGTCCCCCCTTCAAAAATAAAGGCTGTAAGGGCCCCGGGGGCCCCCTCACAAGGGGTTCCCTTTTTCCCGGGAGCAAATTATTTACTACTCTTAACTCAAACCCCGGGTTTAAAACCCCTATAAAAAAGGGCTATAAAAACAGGGGTTTAAAAAAATAACAGAAATTTTTTCTAGAACAGGTCTTTCGGGCAGAGAAAAAAAACTTCGAGCTATGCAAAGCTGTGGTCTCAAAAATCAAAGTCCCCCAAGGTTCCGGCAAAGTTTGAGCCCCGATGAAGGCATCACCCGCTTCTTATACCTTGTGAGTCTATGTGTTGCATCATGTGGGTGCTTAGCTGGCCGTATCAAAACTACAAACCCCTCCCTGTCCCGGGAAATCCATTTCAGGTTGCCTCTCTGTCCGGGTTACAGGGTACAGGGAGCCCCTATCAGACCCCGGGTCCCAAATGTGCCCCCTAAACCCTTTTTATCTTAGAGACACAAAGGCCCGTCTTGATTAGATACCTCCGTACACAACCCCTGATAAACCACAATGTGAAGGGAAACCCTTTTTGCCCCCTTTTTTTTTCCTTTTTTTTTAATTTTTTGGACCCCCAAAAAACCAAATTTAACCCAAGGTTTTTTTTTTTCCCAACAAAATTTTTTAATTTTTTTTTTATTTTTTTTAAATAATTTTTTTTAAACCCTTTTTTTTTTTTTTAAAAAAATTTCCCGTTGTTTTTTTTTTTTTTTTTGGAAATTTTAATTCCAAAAATTTTTGTTTTTTTGAACCTTTCCGAACCCGGAAGTGGAACTTTTTTCCCGGAACGAAAAAAAATAACTCTAAAATCCCCTTTGTAAACTCCCCGGCCCCCCAAAAAAAAAAAAGGTTTTTTTTTTTTTTTTTGACCCCGGTCGGTTGTTTTTTTACTCCAAAAAAGGACGGTTTAAAAACCCAAAAACCTTTGGGGGGAAACGGTTTTTTAGATCCCCCGGGGCTCCCCTTTGTAGACCTTTCCCGGGTCGGTTGTAGGCTCCCGGCCCCGGTTGTGGCTTTTTTTTTTTTAACCCGGAAACGTTTTGTGTGTGTTTTAAATTTTGGTCGGGTTTTAGGCTCCCGGGTCGGGTTTTTGGCGCTACTTTCCTGGAAACGGTTTAGTTTGACCCCCCTTTTGGGTCCAGGGGGTTGTATTTTAGACTCCTGGATCGGTTTGTAGATCTGGTCGGGGTTTTGACCCCCCGGCTGGGTTGTGGACTCCTGGATCGGTTGTAGGCTCTGGATCAGTTGTAGACTCTGGATCAGTTGTAGACTCCCGGCTCGGTTGTGGACTCCTAGATCGTTCTAGAGTTCTGGATTGGTTGCCCTCCAATTTAAGCCTGTCTGTGATCAGAAGCACCAGGATGAAGCAGACGGAACACCAAAGCATAGATGTGTGGTGTGTAGATTGTTTGATGATGTGTTGATTGTTCTCTGATGTTTTCTCCAGAAACGAGCGCGCGGTCTTCAGCTGTTCGAGAAAGTTTGTGAACACCTCAACCTGTTGGAGAAAGACTACTTTGCTCTGTCCTTTAGAGACGCAGACAACAACAAGGTACCTTCCTTCCTCCTCATCTGTCTCTTCAGTTCACAGTCAGTCTCCCCTCTAGGCCTCTAAAGCACCCAGTTTCTACTCTGAAGTCTTTAGTCTGCTCTGTCCAATCATGAAGAACGTTCCTCGTTATCTGAAGCCATTTCTGATTGGTCCTAGTCGATTAGCAAAGCAGCCATTTCCTGTTTGTCTGATCTGGTTGCAGAACTGGTTGGATCCTGCCAAGGAGATCAAGAAGCAGGTCAGAGGTGAGTTTGATGCTTCGCTATTGGTTTAGCTTAGCTTTAGCTTTGCTCATCTCTGTGAGCTCATGCAGGTTGTTCTTGGTCTCAGGTGTTCCCTGGAACTTCTTCTTTAATGTGAAGTTCTACCCTCCGAACCCGGCCCAGCTGTCTGAGGACCTTACCAGGTGTGCTTCCATCTGTTGCTCCTAGCTTAGATAACTTTGTCTTCATGTTTGACCCTCTCTGTCTCTCTGCAGGTACTTCCTGTGTTTGCAGCTCAGACAGGACATCGTCTCCGGACGTCTTCCTTGCTCCTTTGCGACTCACACTGTCCTCGGTTCCTACACGGTCCAGTCGGAGCTCGGAGACTACGATCCCGGTATGAAAAGAACCCAAAGAATCAAACCTTTCGGAGCAAAAGAAAGACTCCTGAACTTAAATACTTTAAAGTTCACATAGAAAACACAGACTTATAGTTTCTCATTTGGTAGTATGAATAAAATTTAATAATCACAGGTGGAAAAATGTCCAGGATTTTGTTGTTTATAGCATAAAATAATTCACTGAGATAGCAGACGACGCTAAATTCCTCATTCGGTCATGTGACCCACTGACGGACGCCGTGACGTCACTTTAGTCAGGAAGTAGTCATTTTACGTAGTGAGTCAATATTTATTTACCTTAGTGATGGAGGTTTTATCCTTTAACGAGGAAGAAGCAATCAGAGTCTGAGTGGTTTTATTAATGCTCGCTGGTTTAATCACCGCTGCTGAATGTTCTTTGATCTTCTGCAGAGCCGCTGGAGGTTCATTATCTTTCAGAACGTCGTATGGAAGCGGCTGTTCCAACCGTTGCTTTTCCGAATTCTCCCGACTTTACGCGAGTGAATAAAGTGAATGTGATTGGTCGATTATCAAGGGGGCGGGATTGTTGTAGCGGAAGGTTCGCAAGCACGTTTGATTGTGGCCGGTTTGTGGGAACAATCTTCCTAACCAGTTAGCAACTTAGCACTAGCAGGTTCCCAATGGGAAATTCCATTGGGACCAAGTAGCACTAAATTGGTGACTTAGAAACGACGCTGTCAAGGAACGCTATGGACAGCGGAAACATGCAAGAGGAGGAGAGTTTAGTGTCGGAGGTCGTGGATGAGTCTCCTCCGTCATCCATTTTTTATTTAGAGGAGGAAAGCGGGGACGAAGATGTTGTGGAAGAGGACGCCAGGGCGGCAGAAGCTTGGTTTGGTGTAGAAGGCTTCCAGCCGTACATGTTTCAGCCCTTGCCTCGCAACGCTGCCAGTTCTGTTAGCTCTACGCCTGCCGAAGACACAGACGTCCATCCCCGTGAACACTGGGACGCAACTCAATGGGAAAGGAAAGGATTCTGATTTCAACCGTTGCGTATATTAGCTGCGACACATGAATCAAGATGCTATGACCGAAAACATTTGATTGACAGATGACCGTTGATATATGATTGGCTGAATTTAGGTGTTCAGGCTGACGTAGAACTAACTGGCCTGCAGAAGATAACGGAAAAAACACAGATTTGAAGATTTTTATTTGAATAGAAATTTTCCAACTTTTGGGACAGTATGGTCTGATAAAGAGAATATTTATATACATGTTTAAGCCAGAATGATTTGACATTTAAATAAGATTTCCCTACGACTTTAAACCAGAGTCTAACCCTAGTTTGAAGAGCGGATTAGAGGATTGGTTCTGTGGTGGCTGGGTTCGGTTCAGTTTGGTTCGGTTGGCAGCCGGGCATGAAGGCTGGGGGTCAGTGTTGGAGCCCTGAGTGCGGTGCTGGTGGTTCTAGATAGGGAAGGCGGTCCCTCTGTAACCCGATCGCAGCGAACAGTCCAACCACCGGGTCCTTTCTGCTGTCTGGGTGGGAAACATTTCCCTTTGGTTTATTGAATCCAGCTGATAGAGGAGAGCAGGAGGCGGGGTTACCAATCTACTCGCTCTGGAGAGCAGAGTTCGCTGCTTCTGGATGTTGTCTCCAAAGTCTCCAGTAGCAGAAAAAAGTCTCTAGATTTGGCGCTAGGAGCTTTTTAGAAATCAAAGTGCTAGAGGGGTCTGAAAAGTGGCTAAATATAGCGACTAAAGCGCTAAGTTGGCAACACTGCTCTTTGCATGGTTTGTTTTCAAATGGTTTGCTGCTGTCTGTTTGGACCTTTCTGAACATGTGCAGCAAATGGACTGATCCAATATGGTGGACACTGAAGGGGGGGGGGCTGAGACACACTTCATATTATCAGCGTTCTGATGGCATTTAAAAAATATAATTAATGTGCACAAATAAAGAATAGTTGTATAGCCAAGAAAACTTGATGGTGGTGTATGGAGAAACTGAAGAAGTTTTATGGGGCCCCCAGGAACTTGGGGCCCTAGGCACGTGCCTGGTATTGCCTAATGGTCCCAGATATCCCGGCCTAATGGACCGTATTTCCAGTTGACCCTTGTTCACCTGTTTTCCAGATGAATGCAGTCAGGACTACGTCAGCCAGTTGTGTTTCGCTCCAAACCAAACCAAAGAGATGGAGGCAAAGATCATGGAGCTGCACAGAACCCTCAGGTTGGTGGCCCCCTGTGGTGTGACCTGGCTCCGCTCACGTTCCCCGCCTTTTAACGGCTGTTACTGTGTGTTTAGAGGAATGAGTCCGGCTGAGGCGGAGATGCACTTCCTGGAGAATGTAAAGAAGCTCTCAATGTACGGCGTGGACCTGCATCACGCCAAGGTAAAGATGCTGCTCAGATCCTCTAGTCCGACGCTGTTGTTCATTTTCACATCTTTAGTTTCTAACCCAGAAACTGTCAGTAGGGAAGGTTTGGTTTCTGAGCGAGGGAACCTCTGGTCTGATGTTCAGGCTGTAGGACAGCGCCCCGTCCTGAGGGCGATCACTGAGTCTGGGAGCGGCCATTTTTGCCCAAATCTAGTAGCCCCTCCCTCCTGCCATCTTCCAGCAGTGACGTCACGGTGCGGTAAGCCTAGCGCCATTCTCCCCGCTTTCCAAGCTAAATCAATGGGAACTACTAGACACATCTGCAATCAACAACAATTATTGAAGATTTCCAGAGGACTTCACCATTGAAATTCACCAGAGCTATAGTGAAACTGACAATGCCCACGTGCATGGCAGCTGGATGCTGGAATACATCGGGTAAAAGTGAAAAAAAGAGTTATTCCACCTTTCTGATTCCTGATCCTCCACGGACGGGTTGGTCGTTGGATCGCCAACTTGAAGAGGGAGGATTTGCCATCGAACTTCTGGCCAGAGAAAAAACCCGTAATATGTAGCCAACATTTGGAAGAAGAATGTTTTCAAGATGACTTGGATAATAGCGCGTTGTGACAAACACCAGATACAGCACTGGGACTTGATCAACAGCCGATACCGCACCGTGACAATGTCACTAACCAGTAGGTGGCAGTAGTGTTCTTTGACAAACATGGATGCCTCCAGTAAAGCACATTCACATGAAAATGTGTCTTAATTAAATATAATTTCATATTTAAAGAACGTTATAAAGGACTCAGAGGAGGCTGAGATCAACTGGATCAGATGGTTTCAGTCGCCGCTGTTCTCCTCTCGGCCGCAGACCATCCAATAAATCAGCAGCGACACACTTCCTGGTTTCATCAATACCGTCCGTGTTGCAGGAGAGAAATGATTTTTCCATTCAGTCATTTCATCCTGAATGAACAGCAGCGTAAATCCAGAATCTGACCTTAAAGCATCATTTTCATCCAGAGAATTCTCTGATCCCAGAAGTTCAGTACCATGGACAGTGATTTAGAACCCAGACATCTTTTCTCGGTAGATACCCTCATATTTTTCTCACATCTGTTCTCTCATCAAACCCAGTTTCACTGCTCTGATCAGGATCTCTGAGCCTAAACGAGCTTCCTTTGATGTTCAGCCAGAGTCTGCAGAGAAACCTTCATCTACTTCCTCTTCCTGTGTGATGCTTTAGTTTATTCTTTCTGTTATTGTCCATCTTAGGGATCCGAGTCATTAATCAAAGGTTCATTAACTTATCAATCGACTAATGATTCATTGATCAGCAGACGTCTTCATGAAAGGTTCAGTATTTATTAATCATAATCTTTAATTAAACTTTATTGATCAGTTTAACTCTGCATTTAGCCCATCCTCTTGGGGAGCAGGGGGCTGCCATCGTGCGGCGCCCAGGGAGCAGGGTGGGGTCTACCCCTTATGCCCGGAGGGCCCGGTACAGGGCCCTCCCTCTGATCTCTGTTTATTCCCTGGATTCCTGATTGGCCGTTAGTAGTACGGGGTTGTTGTGAACCCACTGGCCGCCATATTGGTACTCCCTATTTAGACCAGTCTCAATGTAAACAATCCACTACAGCCTCTAACGATGATGTTCTCATTTTCAGGGACTGAAGACTTTTAAAATAAAGATAAATTCATCACTTTGACACAGAGTGGCTGTTTTATAGCATCAATAGATTAACTTTAACTTAGAATAAAAAAAATAGGCCATTCACACTGCAGAGTCATTATGAAGTCAAGTCTACAAATCATGTAATATAAAATATTATACAATCCATTTTCCCCTCAATATAACATGAAATAAATAAAGAATTCCTACATTAACATTTCAATGAATTACTTTCTATTTCCTCTACTTTCTATTTTCTAACGTTAGACCCAAAGTCAGCGTCTAACTCAGTCAATGTCTTCCAGTCAGTCCCAGATAGCCAGACTAATGTTACGTGTGGAAACATGTTTTTCTTCGTCCTAATTGGGGTGAAAGGAAGTCTAGAAGTGATTAAAGAAAAGCGTTTCTGACTGTTTATCTGGCTAATGAATGTATGTCCTTGATGAACTGAAGTTGTTTTGCTCCAAATGTTTTTAGGAAGTTCTTTATGCAGAGGTGAGATGGATTCTGACTTTAATCTCAGAATTCTGCCCTCAGATCTTAATAAAGGAATAAAAATAAGCTGAGACTTTTTCGTCACCTTGTTGGGGAATAATATGTTGAGACTCCAGGAGAGATTTGAACCTTAAGAAACGGGTGCAATACAGTTTGAGTGGAGTTACCATATCATGGCGTCATAAGAAGGGGCGGAGCCCCAAGCAGATCTGGTACCTACATCCATAGATATAATATTGCTGAATATTGAAATATTTTTAGTGAGATTAAGAGTAATCCCACTTGCACAAGCCATCATTTCTTTAGTCCTGCTCTTGTCCTCTGAAGCGTGCCTTGTTCCTGGTTCAGCTCAGTGGAGGGAGCCTGTTTAAAGTTCCGCAGTTCTCCTGGAACCATGTCTTGTCTCTGCTTCTCAACTACTCTGCCTGCCTGTTCGGAACCCCTGGCCGGGCTTCGGACTCCTGGATCTCAGAACCATCTTGTCCTGAGCTGTTTGCCTGACCTGACTCAGACTCCTGCCCATGAACTGGGGCTGCCGCATCGTGGCGCGCTCTGCGCCGCATCTCGTTTGGCGGTCCATCGGCTGGATCGCGCCTCACCCGACAGAATGGACCAAGCGATTTAACGAGGTCAGTGACCCACATGGATGATTGTCTTCCGTTAGATTATCGTGGTCACTTACCTGTGTTTCTCCCTCCAGCAGAGAGTCAGTGATGGGTGGCGCCCCGCCTCCCCCCGCCTCCCGCCGCAGATCCACAGCAGCCCGTTTCTGTTCAGTTCTGTTTTAATTGAATAAATGCTTTGAAACTCGCCACTGTCTGTCTCACCTGAATACTGGGTCCTACGTTCTGGAGCATTTTAATTATAATCAGATGGAAGAAACTGTAATCTAATTACTAATGAATCCTAAATGAATTATTTGTTTACAGTCCTGGTCTGTTTCTCTCTGTCTCCTTCTCTCTGTTTATGCTTGACTGTCTTTCTCTGTCTCTTTGTCTCTCTCTCCATTACTCTTTTTCTCTTCCTGTCTCACTGTCTGTCTGTCTGTCTGTCTGCATGCACTAGATGGCAGGAAGCCGCTTTGACTGCTTATCTGCTAAGTCAGAGGTAAGAAGGTTTCCTCCATGTGAGGCCTTTCCCAGAATCCTCTTTGCTTCAATCCTATGATCGTCCCGAAGTCCCTTAGAGACAAGTGAGTCCATTAAGGAGCCGAGAGAGAAGCTGAGAGAGAAGTTTTACCGTCTGTCCGTTAATCCTAACCCAACCCCTCGGCCCCGTCTCATGTGCTTGGTTCCTATTGGCCCTTCTGGCTCCTGGTTCTGAGCTCAGGTGTTCTTCAGGTGTCGCAGAATTAAACTGATTCCTGTCAGCGTTGAAGTACCGACTGAATGTAAGGAAGCACGATGTGCATGTGTGTCTGCAGGACTCGGAGGGCGTGGCCATCATGTTGGGCGTGTGCAGCAGCGGCCTCCTGGTCTACAGAGACCGACTGAGGATCAACAGGTTTTCATGGCCGAAGATCCTGAAGATCTCCTATAAAAGGAACAACTTTTACATCAAAATCCGACCTGGAGAGGTTAGAGAGAAAAGCCCAACAAAGCCTGGTTTTAGTTTAGGAAACATGCAAATAGAAACGGATGAACGGGTCCCCCCCCTTTGGAGTGTCAGAAACTGCTAGTTGAATTCCAGGCTTGTAGGGCAGCTCAAACAAAGCCTTGCCAAGCTGTTAATTTGCAGTTTTTCTGCTAAAAGCCTGTAACTGAACTTGTGTTTGATCCCAGTTTGACCAGTTTGAGTCCATCATTGGTTTCAAGCTGCTGAACCACAGAGCGGCCAAGCGGCTGTGGAAGGTCTGCGTGGAGCATCACTCCTTCTTCAGGTCAGTGGCGTCTGGTGTCCAAACGTCTCCGCCGCGTCCTCAGGAGTCCCCTCCAACAGCTGCCTCTCTCACAGGCTGCTGTCTCCCGAAGAGCCGCCCAAGAAGTTTCTGTCGCTGGGTTCCAAGTTTCGCTACAGCGGTCGCACCCAGATCCAGAGCCGCAGAGCCAGCTCCCAGATATCCCGGCCGGCTCCCAACTTCCCACGATGCATCAGCAAGAGGAGCCTGTTGAGCCGCAGCCTGGATGGAGGTAGGTCCCCACCCACAGCAGCGTTGGTTAAAGAGAACTGACCCAGCAGTCACAGTACTGGTGCCAGACTGGTTCTAGCAGTCCGCTACCAGTACCAGGAAGTTCTTCAGAAACCTGTTGATGATCAGGCTTTGATGCTGCAGGGAAACATGGAGGACGGTGGCGCTGAGCGCTGCTAGAGACGACGGTAGAACTGTTCTTCCTGGCCGGTTCTGTTTGGAGGGGAACAGTGATTGGTTGGTTTGGTGTGTGAATGTTCTTTACCCATTTCTGATTGGTCTTTAGCTTCCAGGACCACAGCCTCTTCCCTGATTGGCTCTCCTGCCATCACTGTGTCGCCCAAAGCCAACGGCCGCACCCCTTCAGGTAGCTCTAAGGAGGGATGGAAGCGCCGCTGATGGCTCCGCCTCACGCAGTAGTCCGTAAACTGCTTCTGCTCTGTGATTGGTCCCAGCTCATGCCCCTCCCTCTTTATTCAGGATTGTTGCATCCTCATTGGTCAGGCTTGTTTCAGACCTACATCAGAGGCTCTTTCATAAAACCCGCTCAGAAAAGTCGGACTTAGACGCCCAATCCTGACTTATGCTAAGTTCACATCGCCAATCCAACATCAAAGCAGTTTCTGCTGCTTCATCATTAAGGTCAGCCGTCCAGTAAAGTGAGTCCAGATGCTTCTGCTGCTCCTGTGTTCGATGCCAGAGAGCAGCTTTGCTATATTAGCTGTGATCAGCGGGTAGAAAGTAGTTAGAATCTATGTTGAAGTGAGAAAGTCCTCCTGAAAACATGGTCTGTGCAGTCAGTTCATCCAGATTACCATCCTGCCTTCAAAGATTATTTCTCTGTGGGAGCCGCTCAGACCCCCACATACCGGCGCTGCGCTGTCACTGGGAATCCCCAGCAGCAGCTGCCTCAGGCCCGCTCGCCTCTCCAGGGTTTTCCCCTCCTGTTGGTGGCGGCTGGAAGTAGATGTTAGCGTTTTTCAGGTCTGTGCTACAAACTGCAGGCAGCAGGATAATAAAAGCCAACATATTCTGCCGTTTCAACATTTTAAAGGTGTAGTTGAGGATTTTTACAAATGTTTTAAAAGCCCCGCCCTCACCACTTAAAAGAAAAAATTGCACATGCACAACCCTGTACCCGGTCCTGAGAGTGAATGCCGATTAAACTTGTGCGAGAGCGTGCACAAGCCCATTTCTCCTCGTGCACGCTCTGTTTAAAAGCGTCAGTTCTCATAGTTTATACCAGCTTCCTGTCTCCGACCGTCCGCCATAACCCCTAAATCCCACCATCACTATAGAGAGCGGGGACTATAGTGAACTTTATAGTGAACTCAGTTAACTGAGCGTTCAGACAGATGATCACTGCTTTTTGCTCTGTTGGTCTCCACTCCTCCTCCACTGCGCGGTGCCTGCGCCATCTTTGTTATTAGTCGCCGCTGTCCAGTAGCGACAGCCTATGGCGACAGCGGGCCGCTGTGACAGTAAATCCCATAATGCTTTGCAAGGAGAGCTCTTAGTGCAAAGCATTCTGGGAACCCTGTAGAGACCCGTAGAACCCTCTAGAAAATGCAGATCCTTGTAGAACCATTTTGAACCCTATAGAACTCTGTAGAGACCCGTAGAACCCTCTAGAACGCGCAGATCTCCATGGAACCATGTGGAACCCTATAGAACCCTGTAGAGAACCATAGAACCCTCTAGAACGTGCAGATCTTCGTGGAACCCTATAGAACCCTGTAGAGACCCGTAGAACCCTCTAGAACGCGCAGATCTCCGTGGAACCATGTGGAACCCTATAGAACCCTGTAGAGAACCATAGAACCCTCTAGAACGTGCAGATTTCCGTGGAACCGCGCAGAACCTTGTTGTAGAGCAGAAGGCATCTCACCTGCTGTGCTTCACCATGAATCTTCATCCCGATGAGGAATCATGTGGCTCCGCTCTGATTGGCCGGCCATGGGTGCTGCGCATGTGCTCTGAGCTGTGATTGGCTGCCTGTGCTGTTGCCCTGGCAATGAGCATCACAGTGGTTGCTATGATACTGCTGGCTGTTGATTTGCAGTCCGATGACATCACCAAGGTGTGTGTGTGTGTGCAGATATGGGCTCAGGACTCTACGGAGCATCTAAAGCCATCGCCGTTAGTGACCACATCACCACGGTAACACCTGAGAGGAGGCTGCAGGACAGCAGGGCGGAGCCAGGTAAGACTAACCAATCAGAGGAGCAGCTGCAGATCAAGCAGCTCCTCTGGATTAATGCAGCTGAAAAATGACAGACTTCACTTTTTCTTCTAAAGACAAAAACCTGTTTGCTGCTAAATGTCTGAGTTTGATAGAAATCATGAAAAAGTTTCAAAAGTCCAAACAGAAAAACTCAAAGGAAGTAAAATCATGTGTTTGAAGGCGCCGTGCGGATCTTCAAGGTTTTATTTATTATTTATCGATATTTGCAAATCAGCAGTCAGATGAAGGATATAAAATTATAAACATTCATCATGTGCTAAAAGATTTCCTGCTTTTTAGTTTATCTGAAAGTCAGCTACAAACTGACCCAAAACTATCTGCAGCCATAGCAACCAGAGAGGAGGAGGAGTTAGAGGGACGACAGAGGAAGGAGGGATTCTGGGAAATATGGACACAAGTATCATATTAAAAGAATCAAGGTCGACACAGATTAATGCAGGCAATGAAACTGCAGATAAAATTTAATAAAAATAAATTAAAATCACAACAGTTCGAGCCACTAGTGCTAAAAACTAAAAAAACAAACAAAAAAAACATGTAAGTTGCTCCCGAAGAACGGTTCCACCGCTTTGGAATGGGGGTCGGTTGGCTTCTTTTGTTAGCCTGCAATGCCCCATACCGGTCTATGAGAAAAAGCAGAGAGCAGAAACTAGAGATTGAACTAACAGAGTGGGAGAATAGAGTTAGAATAGGACGAAAAAGGGGTCCCTATGTCCTCCAGCAGTCTAAGCCTATAGCAGCAGAACTATAGAGATAGATCAGGATAACCTGAGCCACTCTAACTAGAAGCTTTATCAAAAAGGAAAGTTTTAAGCCTAGCCTTAAAAGTAGACAGGGTGTCTGCCTCACGGACTAAAACTGGTAGTTTTCTGACTTCAGTTTCAGCTCAGAGATGTAAAGATGAGTCACATTTTCCACAAACTACCAATGGTTTCTTTAAAGGCAGCAACAGGAAAGGGTCTCTTGGATCAAGGAGGGGTAAAGACATCCGGCTGTGAGAGTTTCTGCTTGGTTCTGTTCTCCTTTCAGTTGAGGAGGCTCTGTTGCTTCTGGTGGAGGAGGCGTCAGAGGAGCAGCAGCCGAAGGAGAAGGAGATGAAAGTTACTGAGGTTTCTCCAGAAAGTCCACCGACTCCACAGAAACAGGACACCAAGGTAATCCCTCCCCCACCCTGATGATACCTGACTCCACTTGTTTGCAGACTAACAAGTCTTTGCTTGTTTTTATTTTCAGACTGAGCTGACTGACACAGCTGTTGATGGCGACCTCACAATAACTGAGGTACACACCTGTCAAATCCCTGTGTAGGTAACCTGTCCACTGTGGACACGCCCTGACCTCTCTGTCTCATTTGTCTGTCCGACAGTCTGATCAGGATGAAGATCTGAAAACTCAGGTAAACCTAATGTGTCCAGAGTCCAGCATGCTGGCGTCTCCATGTTAGCAGGTCTCATTGTCTAAGAGCTGGTGTGGTAGTCAAGACCACACCAACCGAGACCAAGGGGTAGCAAGACCGAGATAAGGACAAGACCTTTGGTGGTTGAGACCGAAACAAGACAAAGACCTATAGAGGTTGAGACAAAAACAAGGCCAAGAGCTTTAGTAGTTGAGACTGCAACAAACCGAAGACCTTGGGAGGTCTAGCCTGAGACAAGTCCAAGGCCTTTGGAGGTTGAGACCAAGACAAGGCCAAGACTTTTGAAGGTCGAAACAGAGACAAGGCAAAGACCTTTAGAGGTAGAGGATACTCCTCGGTATCGGTTGGTGTGGTCTTGACTACAACACTTATAAGAACATTTAAAATCAAAGAGTGATCAAATACAACATATTTCCACAATAACAGGAAGAAACTCGTCAAATTGTTCAGGTTAGATCCAGGAGAATCAACCTACTGATGAAATGGGTCAGTTCTTCAGAAACATCACATTGGGCCTCAGAATCAGACCAATCAATTTACAGTAACTGGTCGTACTGGTCTAAAGGATGTAAGCTCCCACTAGATAGGCCACTTTTCATTCCTGGTTGCACAGAACAAAAGCATTAAACCAAAGACTAAACTGTGAAACTGTTTATTGTTCAATATATCAATTGACCCACAGAACCACTCCAGGGTTTGAGCTGCAGGGTGCAGAAGCATCAGATTTAAACTCCTACCTTTCTGTGTGGCTCCGCATATCAATATAAGACATGAAGGTAGTAAGGTACCTTCAGTAGGGAGGCCAGGACAGGTTCTACTTGGTTACTGGTCCCTGTTGGCCCCTAATCTAGGGCATCCCATGTCTTTAGTACATCAGGTCAGAAAAACAGGTCTTCCACTAACCAATGAATAGTCTCCAGGTCAGTCCTTGTCCAACAGGGAATCTTTATCTCCTGCTGTCCTCTAAGTCTTTAGAGATATCAACCTTTGACCTCCTGATGTTCCTTATAGGAGACGTTGGGAAGTCCTGAGGAGAACGTTCAGACCACCATCAGTGCTCTGAGACGCTCCTTCTTGGAGGGAGACCAAGGAGGAGGCGGAATGACGGAGTGGGAAAAACGTCTGGCCTCGTCTCCACTGAGGAGAGCCAACGACGCTCCGATGATCGAACCTCTGGAGCCGGAGGAGGTGAGGTGACCCAGAACAGAGACCGGTGACATCCTGATGCGGGGAGTTGTCAGAACTTATCTCAAACAATGGTCTGTGGTCTATGAAGGTGTTTGCAGGGCTTTGGAAAAATTCAGTAGGATGGATAGAACCTAGGAGGAACAGTGCTAATGGTTGGGTAGATCCTCGGAAGAACATTTCAACGTGTAGGATTCTCACAGAACCTTAGAACATCTAAAGTGTTCCAGTAGGGTTTAGAAAGAACCTTGACAAACCAATTCCAGGAAGGTTTGATTGAACCATGGCACAAGCTATGAAGAGTTCTAGTAGAATTTTAACTGAGCCTTAGAATAATCTTCAGAAAGTTCATGCAGGTTTGACAGAACCTTTGCTGAATCTATGCTTTTCCACCAGAGATCTCAGAGAACCTTAAAGGAACCTTTGGATAGTTCCAGTAAAGTGCTGTTAGAACCTCGGGAGAACACATCAACAGTTCAACTAGAATTTTCTTACATCCGCTGTGGAGTTTTCCTCTACCTTTACCTCTGTCTTTGTCACCTGATTGGCTGATCCAGGAGGGGGATGGGTTTATGACAAATGAAGAAGCTGCACATCCAATCAGAGAGAAGGACTACACAAAGGGGCGGAGTTATGATACGGTCACTGGAGTCCTCTCCATGCTGTCTGAAGATGACATCACCATTAATCGCGGTCACTTTGACGGGACGATCCCTGTATTTCCCACCGTTGATGGAATCACAGGAGAACCGCTAGTCGCCATCCTTGAGATGAAGACGCCAACGTCACCCCTGGAGCCACTGGCTGGCATCTGTGATGTCATCATTATCTCTCAAGCCAGCAGGGAAGGGGGAGGAGCCTTTATGATGTCACCTCTGGCTCCTCCAGGCGCGTTTAACCCCGCCCCTAGGACCTCGCCTTCCACATCCAGAGTGGTACGCTGGTTGGCATGGAAACAAGCATGAGGAGAACCCATTGATGTGTATTACTGAAGGGGACATCAACTATATAAGTAGAACAAGTTGATTTGACAATTTAAAATCTGATTAAACTGAAATATAAGAAGAAATAAGCAAAGTTCACATGAAAGAAATAAACAATAGTAAAGTATTCATTTAAAGGTTAACATGGATTTCAATACTCATAGTTAGTAATTCGTTAGTGAAGTTTATAAAGGGTTAACAGAGTCTAAATTCATTAATTTAGCATAATTGTTTTAAGCTAGTTTAGCTGGATAGGCTGTGTTAGCGTCTGGCCTTTAGCGTTGATGTCTTACCTGCTCCATTATCAACAGCTAAAGCTTATTTCTCGTTGCCCTGGTTCTGCTGGGGGGGGCAGACTGCCCGAGGCCCCAGGTGACCGGAGTCACATGACCCCTCGTTTATTAGCCGATAGTTTAGAAACGTCAGCATTGAGGCCAGATGGACATTAAAACTCAACTCCATTCTACTTATTTATATATATATATATATATAAATACCATGCTGATAAAAATCCAGTCCGTGTTTTCAACTCCACCTTAGTGATAACAGGAGGACATGCCAGGTTCAGATCCAGGCCGTATTTTTTAGCCACAGATATTGGAAAAAGAGCGGCAGCAGCTATTAGGAGGGATATTATTATAACTTTTATTTTATCTGGAATAAAATTATTCACTTTGTAAGTTAATGAAGATTTGAAACAATCTAGAACTGCCTGAGTGAAGTTGGCCCCTAACCCCCCCCCACCTTCTTCAAATCAGACAAAATTAGTGTCAAACGTTTGTGCAGCAAAAATTTTCGTTTGTGCCGCTTTCATTTTAAAGATATAAAGAAATATTTCTAGAGGTCATTAAAGGTCAACCAGCCCCCCCACCTTTAAATCAGACGAAATAGGTGTCAATTAACTCAGCTCCGTTTGTGCAGCAAACATTTTAGTTTGTGCTGCTTTGGATTTGAAGATTTGAAGAAAGGGGGAGGGGGGGGGGGGGGGGGCTGGTTGACCTTTGATGACCTCTAGAAACATCTCTTTATATCTTTAAAATTAAAGCGGCACAAACGAAAATGTTTGCTGCACAAAGCAGCACCAACGTTTGACACTAATTTTGACTAATTTGAAGAAGGTGGGGGGGCAACTTCACTCAGGTTCTAGCACTGCAGTAAATATGTATAGAAATTTCCAGCTAGTTTAGTTTATTATGTGTAGACTGAGAGCTGGATCACCTCTAACTGACATCTAATGCTTTGTTTTCTCTACATCTAGAGCTTTTAGTCCTGGTTCGCTCTAGTTTATCCTCCTGGTTTAGTCCCAGTTTTAGTTCATCTTTTGCTCACAAGTTAAATAATTACAGCTCAGTCTAGTTCAATAATCTACCGTTGGATTTTAGGACGAATGAAACCAACAGAAATTTCCTCACATAAAGATTTATTGCGTTTTATTTTTCCAAAGATCAGCCGCCCAGGATTGATAGAGGAGGAACCACAGCGATGTTCTCATTTTATTATTGCTCATCTTATTCATTTATCCTTATTTTAGTTCATTAAATATGTTTAAAGATTTAATTTCCATCACATTTTCTAGATGAAACATGCAGAGAAGTGCCGTCTCGCGTCACGGTGGGTTTTATAGATCTATAGCCTCCTAGAAGCTCTGAATTTTTAGCCATTTGGTCATTTGTAAAAATAAAAAACAATCTAATAAAATAAGGAGTTAAGGTTTTAAATCGCTAACCTATTACCAAATATTCATACATGGTGTTCGATTTCAATGGTTCCTGTATGAGTGCCAGTCATTCAGTTATAACTTATTATTTTACGTTGTTTATTTTCCTTTAAATGCATAGATTAATTAGTAAATAGAGTTTACAGTATATTTAAGATGCAGATATTTTAGTCCTCATCTCACCCTGACAACTATTTCAAAATCTCTTTGTTGAAAGGTTGTCAGCGCTGTAGATCTGTTATAATGAGCTGATAGAATCTATATAGAATAGTTCTTTATAGCACTCCCTTCCCACACTGCTAATGGATTCATGTTTAGAGAGAAATAACATTTATTTTATTTAGATTTTCTTAAAATGTGATAATAAACGAGGTTCTAGTTCCAGCGGCTCATTGTGCATTAGAGCCGCCTGGTTCTGTTGACATGAACGGGTCAGAATGGTCGTCCAGGTCACTGCCATCAGCGGCTGACTGGGCAGGTCCTATCCAGTAATATATGTTAATGGGAGGATCATCAACATCCTGCTGCAGCACTGAAGAACGAGGTGAGGCGAGAAACTGAACAGCTGAGAGAACGAGCGGCTTTCCGTCCCGTCCCACAGAATCAGAAGGTCCGGTCCCATGACTCCTGTCCTAAAGGTGACGGTCAGAGATCCTCCAGGACAACGAATGGCATTTAGAACAGATTAGATGCTCCAAAATACGTTAAAATCAATCCACTGGACTTTATTTCCAAGTCTGAAGACGTTTCTCTTCCATCCAGGAAGATTTTTTAATTCAAAATGTCAGAAATACCTGGAACTAAATGCTATTAATGACATTTTTAATTGAAAAATATTCCTGGATGGAAGAGAAACGTCTTCAAACTTGGAAACAAAGTCCAGAGGATTGATTTGAACGTTTTTGGAACGACTCTGACCTGGATGACTGAGGATCTCCACCAGCAAACAGAGGAGATAATAAGGCGATACCTGGATGCTGACATCCTGCTGACTTGGGGGCCTCATGTACCAAACATGCAGCTCCATGAGCCGGACATACCCGTTTCTATGGTAACGGGCTACTTTAATGACACCTAGAGGTCACTCTGTGAAACTGTTAATGAAGTAAAGACGATAAGAGACTTGATGAACAGTAAATGAATCCATGATGAAACAATAATGACCTGATTGGTCCATTGGTTCCGGTCGATGACCTCTCACCAACAGTTGGACGTGTCCAACTGTCCTGTCCTCTCTCTGTCTTTAGCACATCTTTGTTTATTCTCTCTGACATCCTGTAGGCTTTGTTCATGAGGCCCCCGGTCCTTCATGTCTGGTTCTGGTTTGAGCGTTCTCCAGCAGGGGGCAGTGAGGAGTCCCAGTGTTCAGTTTCGCCTTACTTAAGCTCCGCCCACTCCTCCTTCACTTCCTCCCAGAGACCATTTTGTTGCTGCTTTTCTGACCAAAATGGAGCACGGGGAATTGCTGCTGGTTTTCCTTCCTGTTTTTTTCCTTTAACTTCCTCCCTGCTTTCATTCTGATTGGCTGAATGGAGCTGTTATACCTCAGTGCTCCTGCTCTGCTGCTTTTGCTGTTTGTCCTTCTTCACCTTATTTGAGGCTTTTGATTTTCTCTGAAATCTTCTGGTATTTCTGAAGATTCTTTCTTTCTGAGGTTGCGGCGCTGCAGCCTTGGAGCCACGCAGCCTTAAAGGGGAATGCCGTTTGGAGCCGTTCTGAAGATATTCCGTTAGGTTATATCCAGTAACGTCTTCCTATGGGCAACGACTTGAAGGCACAAACTAAACTGTTCATCATTTATTCTTTATGGTACGCCAGCATTCAGAACATGGAGGCCAATCACTGACCCCCAGACATCCAGGGTTATATTTTTATATTTATATATTTTAAAAACAAAGCGGTGCGTTTATGACATCATCGTCTGCTAGTTTTCCTCACATGCCTGGAAGATGTCTAGTGCTGCTACCACAGATGATCTCTCTCTCCAGATGAACGATTCAGATGAGCTAGAATGAATAGAAGGGGTAGAGCGTAGCCGCCTGTGGCCCGGGCTGCCTGTCACTACTCCAGTCCGGCGCACGGATGATGTCATACACGCGCCGCTCTGTTTTTTAAAAAAAATAAATAAATATAACGGTGGATGTCTGGGTGACAGTGATTGGCCTACATGTTATGAATGCTGGCGTACCATAACGAACTTTTTTCTCCGTTATCTTCTGCAGGCCAGTTAGTTCTACGTCAGCCTGAACACCTAAATTCATCCAATCATATATCAACGTTCATCTGTCAATCAAATGTTTTCGGTCATAGCATCTTGATTCATATGTCGCAGCTAATATACGCAACGGTTGCTGACTAAACATGTCTAAAACAGTTTAGACGTCAGAATGTGGCCGACGGTTCAGAACTTCAGCCGGTTCCTGATTCTGCTGCTTTTGGAGTTTGATCCAAAGTTTGTCAGATTATAACTCAAACTGTAAGTCGTCTATCAAAGATCTGCCAGAGGGTTTAAACAGACAAACTGGAAGATAACTGCTGCTTCAACCACAGAAGAACCTTCATCAGAACCCATTTATACAAGGATGTGGTCAGAGCCACGACGCCCTGTTCCTACTCAGAGCTCCTGTTTGCATGGCTTCAGACCCCCTGTCCCTAACCTGAGTGTGTCCATGTTGTCCTGTCGGTTCCCTCATCCCGGTCTGTTGGTTCTCTACAGCCCAAACCCTCGTTTGATGAGATGTCTCCAGAACTCACCGCTCTGCTGAAGTCCGCCAGGGAACAAGAGACCTTCAGAGAACACAACCTGCTTAAGGTGCTGTCCACACCACTGTCCCCCTGCCATCATCTGTCCATCATGTTAGCTAGTTGTCCACCTGTCCAGAATGTGACCTGTCGTGTCACCATTTGTCTCCATGTCCTCTCGTCTGTCCAGTCCTTGACCTGTCTCTGCCAACAGAAATGAACCAAACCAGGAACATCATCACTGGTTCCTGGACGACAGTCTGTCCACCTTTAATCTGAGACAGGAAGGCTGAGTTTATGGCAATTTATGAGATTAACAGACATCAAACAAGATAAGACTAAGGAGTCAAAACTGGACATTTGTTGATTTCTCCCATTAGAGAAAAACAGAGTTAGGGTTAGTTGAGAGTTAGTAGTTTTATATCATGTCTTTTCCTCAACACATCATCCCACAGGATTATGGAGATGAGACAGAGGTTAAAGCAGGGAACCCGTCCCCCCTTTGGACCTGGTGTCCTCAATGTGTCTCCTTTCTGTTTCAGACATCAGAGAAAGTGGAGACAGTCTTCATCGTCCCAGAGTCCATGGAGCAGGACCAGCCCGCCACAGAGCACTATAAGGTAGCACCAACACCCATCGGCCCACCCCCCATTAACCCCCCTCCCCCTCCACCAGGAAATGGCCGGGCCCATGATGATGATGATGATGATGATGATGATGATGACGAAGACGTCACACAGCAGTGGCCTGGCCATGAGGACAGGGCTGAAGATGATAACACCTTTGTAGATAGACATGAGCCCAGTGATGATGATGAGGAAGATGATGATGGCAGTGATGAGTGTAGCAGTGATGAAGACGTCATCAGCGTGCTAGCTCAGACTGCGGTCGAGGAGTCGGTGGAGGCTGCAGTGAGAGAGGTTAACGATGCCGATGAGGACTGTGATCGTTACCATGACGACGGGGAGTCAGACGTCTCCCAGGAAGAAGGAGAGTGGACCTTTGAGGAAAACTCCCCGTCCCCAACTTTACCTCACCTCACGTCCCAGCGATCAGCCAGTCCCACCCAACTGGACGAGTCCAGACCTCTGCAGGAGGTAACCATGGAGACATCCATAACCCCCCCAGAGACCTGTCCCAGTGAGACCTGTCCCAGTGAGACCTGTCCCGGTGAGACCTGTCCCAGTGATACCTATCCCGGTGAGACCTATCCCGGTGAGACCTGTCCCAGTGAGACCTATCCCAGTGAGACCTATCCCAGTGAGACCTGTCCCAGTGATACCTATCCCAGTGAGACCTGTCCCAGTGAGAACTATCCCGGTGAGACCTGTCCCAGTTAGAATTGTCCCATTTAGACCTGTCCCAGTGAGACCTTTCCCAGTGATACCTGTCCCAGTGATACCTATCCCAGTGAGAACTATCCCGGTGAGACCTGTCCCAGTGAGAACTATCCCGGTGAGACCTGTCCCAGTTAGAATTGTCCCATTTAGACCTGTCCCAGTGAGACATGTCCCAGTGAGTCTTCTCCCAGTGAGACCTGTCCCAGTTAGAGCTGTCCCAGTGAGGCCTGTCCCAGTGATACCTGTCCCAGTTAGACCTGTCTCAGTTAGACCTGTCCCAGTGAGACCTGTCCCGGTGAGGGAAGAGGTCTTCCCCCACTAAGTCGCTCTGCTCCACTGAGACAGTCTGTCCCACAGATCAGATACCCTCTTACCCAGTAGGACTTTTCCCAGCTGATCCTCTTCCCTGAGACCCTTGTGTCATCGACCCAGTCCTCAGTCTCTGTTTGACCTGTCCAGGTGAAACCTTTTGTCTCACCCAATACAATCTCTCTTACTGAGAACCTCTCTCACAGCGAGATCTGTCCTCTGTACCAGTCTAACCATTCTGGCTCTGCTATGTATCCCACTAATATAAAGGAACCATTGTTTCCTTTTTCAGGAGGTCCCAGTGATGAGGAAGACTCTGACATACGAAGCTCCAGGGGTGAGGACGTCTTTCATTTGTCCATGATAGCAGTCAGACATCATGTCCTTATAGTCAACATCAGTCAAACTGGTTCCAGGACACCCTGATAAGTCAGAACTTTATGTAAAGGTTTTACACGTGACGTAACCAGCCACACGCCTTCTAGAGAGGTCTACTTTGATCATGTTAGTCCACAAAATATTCTCCCAAAAGTAACAAGGGTCAGTAAGATGTATTTGGATAAATATTAGATGGTTCTTTGTGTTCATTAAGGTCAGCAGTTGTTCTGATCTGGTGGTTTCCCATTAAGGCCATTGTTTCCGAATGTCTCTATCCGAATGCTCCGATTAAACAGACCGGAGTGCTTTTCCCAGGTCCTTTTGGGATGGTCTAGAAGTTTTGGTAAGTTTGTGTCCACCTGAAAGCTTGGGTGTGTATTCATCACTCAGAGAAAGCAATAGACTTTCCAGGTAACCAGAGACAGCAAGTCTTCAGCCTGGGATTCTGTGGTGGTTCTTCAAGATTCAAGATTTTCTTTAATTGTCACCCAGCCTGGAGTGGCACTCCTGTAGGGTGAAATTTCAGTTTCAGTAAAGCCCATCCAAGATGGAAAAACCACAGAGACAAAATACAGACGGAGGGGACACGGTGTCCGAGGCTTTGAGAGGTGCATGCATCCTATCTGAGCAAGTGCATGAAGCCTTGGGTCAATGCCCTTGACAGATGTAACAGTTTGTCATCCGACCAACAAGGCAGCTTCACAGATGTCTTCAGGGGACGGGGGGGGGGCAGAGGGCAGAGCCTCTGTCATGTCATCCAGGGAGAGTTGCTTAGATAAAGGCCTCTGAAGGCCGGCGGCGAGCCGAATCGTTGTGCTGGCTGTTCTTTTTCCTGTCAGCCTTCAGAGTTATTGCTGGAGTCTCAACATGCCGAAACCCAATAACAGATTTTTTCTTCCACTCTGCCAAAATTCCAAGCTTGCGACTTTCTCCAAGTTTATACCATTTCACCTCTGAGTCCAGGAACCGCAGCCAGCCTGCGATCCTGTGCAAAGATCGCAGCCAGTTTACGGTTCTGCTCCTTTAACATCTCAGTCTGAGTGTTTATAGCACATTCCAGGTAGCCTGATAAAACCCCACCTTCCAAATTTCACGATATGCCCGGTACCCACCAACTCCAAACCGTAGAAAACCTGTTATCAAAAATCCAATTCTACGTCCACGACAGGCATCATAGTCAGGCTCACAATCTTCCACTTCTGCCAGGAATCCATTGTGGATCCAGAGAAAAAAAAACACCATCTAGACACAAATGTTCTCCCTTACCCTGGGCAATGAGCCTCCAGATGCTCTGCTTGCATGGCCTTTATATACCAGTTGGCTGTTCTGATTGGTTGGACATGATCAGTGATCTGTTTTAAACTCCCTGTGAAGAAAATTTGATCAATTGCATTAAGAGACCAGCCGACCATATCAAAGATTTAGTCTGTAGGTTTCAACCAGAACAACAATTGACATTTTAAAAGTTTCCTGGAATATGAAACTGCCGCAGGTCGGGAGGGATTCACCAGAGCTGGCAACCAAAACTTCTGGAAGGAGATTGGACGGTTAAATGACCAGACAGAGGGCAACATTTCTAATGTTGTATTCTGGTTTACTAACCGTCTTGATTGTGACAGCAACCTTTGAGTTTCTGAAGATGCCAGTTGGCTTGTGACGCCACTGGTGAACCTTAGAGTATTCCTGAATTTTTCCTGGTTGATTAGGAGGAATCCTTCTTTGACAGGTAATGGTTGGTGCAGGGGATTGCACAGAGTCAGATCCATGAGAGCAGAGACAGGCAGAATAACTAAGGGGGCAAACCAGAGTATGGGGTCCAAGAGACGGTCCAGAGTCAGATCTAAGAAGTAGAGGCAATCCAGGGGAGCATCCGGGAGCAAGGTCAGGTTACAGAAAACAGGTCAGAGATCCATAAACACACTATGACAGGTCCGATAGCGCTCAGGTAGGCTCAGAGAATCAGGCAGACAGGTTACAGGAACGCTGGATTAAACTCACCCATGGCTCTTAATAATCTGGCACTCATGACTGGTCTGAGAGGTGTTATATAGCCCGATGAGCAGGTGAATCTGTTGGAGGCTGATTTAAAATGGGGCGGAGCTGACAGGCGTGTTGAATGATGAATCAAACCAGCACTAGAAGCAGGAATCATGACATATTCTTATCACAGAGATCAATGTTTTCAGATTTCATTTCACATTTCAGATGTTGCTAGAAATGTCCTGATTTCATTTTTGACTTCAGTCGGACCTCCACCATTTCTACACCAGTTTAACTGAGCTTATAGCTCCTTCAGACAGGTTTCTCCCTCCCTGACGGTTTTCCTCATGTTTTCCAGAGTCAAGTGGACTCTGATCCCCCCGCTGGTCTCCTGCTGAGCTCCCAGACCTTCACTGCAGAGACTTCCAACACCACCACCACCACTCACATCACCAAGGTATCGTCATGGCTACCTCAACACATCCACCCTACAGGTCATGAGAAACCCCAGAATAATCCAGTAGAGCTGGTCTTTAGGTCAAAGCCAGCATCCATAGACTAAGACCACCTTGGAGGACGGGAATCGGGTTGGGGACACCTTAGACTGCACGACTCTGCAACATTCAGAAGAGAAAAAAATGTTCTGTTTCTTATGGTCTTATGATCTTCTGCTGGTTCTTGTTCCCCAGATGGTGAAAGGAGGAGTTTCAGAAACCAGAGTGGAGAAAAGAATTGTGATCTCTGGAGAGACAGAAGAAGACCATGAACAGGTAGAGTAACCATCAACCGCACCAGAAACTGTTAGAGGGATGTAGTGAGGTAGGCCAGGGAGACACCTGCAAACTGCAGGATGGTGGGTCCTGCACACTGAAACGCCCAGCTGGGTAAACGGAACAGGACAGAGTAAAACCAGGACCTGGTCCAGAACTGCTCCCCTCTGGGTTCTGACTGTCCTGTCTCTTCTCAAGGCCCTGGCGGCTGCTCTCAGCGAGGCTCGGAGGCAGCATCCCGAACTGTCCGTTACCAGAGTCGTTGTCCATAAAGAAACAGAGGTCTCTCCCGATCACATGGCCAATCAGTGATGTCACAGGTAACGATGCCTGCTGATTGGCTGCCTGGGCAATGAGCCTCCAGATGTTCTGCTTGCATGGCCTTTCTCTACCAGTTGGCTGTTCTGATTGGTTAGACATGATTTTAAACCAATCAAGCCTGTGGATCCTGTGTTCATCTGAACAACCATTAACAAATGAATGGCCTGTTACCATGGTTACAAAATACAGCTCACCCGGAGGAAGGTTCTCATCTGAGCACAAACTTAAACACCTAGTCCATAAGGAGTCTGCTGGTTCTGGTTCTCTCCACCGCTGCAGGATGCATGCTCAACCAGCTGCTGGAGGCGGTCTACTGGATGATGCACGGACTGGACGCAGTCAGCTGGAAGACTTTAACCAGAGTCTCTGGATGAGTCGATGGGTTTGGGATCACTGGTTCATAGGATGGTGGTTTTCAACGCTCCACTGGTCCATCAGTAGATGTTTCCTTTACCTCCTCCTGTCCTCATCTCATCATTGACATTTCAGTTCCTGAAACCCACCTGCAGGAGGCGCTATAAACCCTAGGCTCTTCTTGGCATTCACTGCATGTTTGCATGCCGCTGATGATGACTGCACCATCTGTTAGTGTCAGTGGTTAAAATCCAACTAATAACTCAGAATGCATGAAAATTACAAATGTTTACCAATATAGACATCTTTGGAAAGCTTAGATTCTCCAAAAAAACACCTAGTTCATTTTATGGACACAACAAGCATTAAAGCTCAAATAATACAGATATAGCAGCATTGTAAACCATAGATATGACAAAGGAGCCACAACAACCTCCCTTTGAAGGCGTCCAGAAGCCGTTTTAGAAATCCAACCTTCAATTGTTTACATTCGTCCATCAGATTAAACGTAATCCAGCATATTCATAATAAAAATATTCTATGAGGAGAAAATGGCCACGTAACGTCCGGATGTTGACATCAGAAAGGTTAGCTGGTCATAGCTAATGCTTAGCATCTTGCTAATATTAACTTCTAATACTTATTTTCTCAGTTGATGTCTGGTATGGTTCTTTACGTCGTCTTCTTACCTACAAGACAAAAGTGTCGCATCTTTTTATGACGCGATTTGAACCGGATACATTCGCTAACATTTCGAGCGCGTAGAGCAATATTACGCCTCCTAGAGTCCTGCTGTTATTGGTTGAGGCCACATGGGCTGTTTGGCTTTGCAGCCAATAAAAAAGGTTTGAAACCAGGGTAGACATGGCTGGGTTATATAAAGCAGAGCCGTGTTACAGACTGGCGTAAGAGTGAAACTCAGCGTGGATCAATGCCTGCAGCTCCAAGCTTGAATAATATTTTTTTATTTCAAGTTTGGACGCTGATTTTGTTTTAATAAGATGCCTAAGGCAGAATGAAAACAAAAGGCAGCTCAGAAAAGGCGCTGGGGCTTATTTCAGCTTGAAAAGCAGCAGTTTCACTATTTTTATAGATTATTATGTTATTGCAGGTGTGAAAATGTTGCATTTGGTTTTATACACAGATTCTGAAAAAAAAGTGGAAAATACTTGCTTCAAAATGCTTCAGTGTTATTCTGTGGGTCAAAAAGTAAAGCAAAGCATAATAAAAACATTTGGCACAATTTGGTGCTGGTGACACTAAAAGTTCAAAACCTCACAGCTCTGGAACTGTTATAGCTGAAGGTCTGAAATGTTTTGCATTTGAGGCTGACATGATGTAGAACAAATGTAACACAATTAGACCCACTTTTTCTCAAGAATGTCTTTATTACTGCTGTTCAAAAATGACCTATCATTTTCGAGAATAAAAAAACCCAACTTTGAGTCATGTTTGAACTGATGCGGCTTGTTCTGTGTTCTACTCACCCAATCGAAACTAGAAGGTGTTAGCTTTCAAATAATGTAATTTGGGCTTACGGCTCCTAAGTTTTTTGCTTTTCCATTTGGATATGCAAAAACATCTCCTGTGCGTCTATGTCTTTCTCTGTCCCTCTGTGTCTCTCTCTGTCCATCCGTCTCACTGCCGTCTTTCTCTTTCAGGAATGAATGTCGAAGCCCCTCCATCATTCTGGGACATTGAGTCCACAGCCAGGAGCCGCCATCACCAGCCTAGTGTGGACTCTGATCCCAGCTGGAGTGGAGGATGCACACCACCCAAGCACATATGAATGCATGTACGAGCCCCCCCAAGAGACCCCCCCCCAACTGCTTCAGGAGGCCCCCTAATTGGCCAGTTGACTCAAGCCTACTCCTGACTGCGATAGTTCGAACCTGCCACACCTGCTAAGAAGCTTTTATTGTGAAAATCCTCGCTCGCTCAGCTGCAGCTCAGCCAAGTATTTACCCACGATGCAACAGGATGTGCCATAGAATCCAGCATTTCCTCTAATAAGCAGAGGCGACCCTGATGGGTTGAAGTTATCATGAACTCGGGCAGCTTGAACATCTGACCTGTAGATTCTGTGTTAGATGTTCAGTGGGAAATCCTTTCAAATAAAAGCCCGACTCAGAGCAGGAAGCTGTTGAAATGGACTCTTATTTTGAAGCTCTGCAGGAAGTATGTAGTGGTTAGTAACCCCTTTATGTAGAAACTAGTTTCTTCACTGTTCAGTTCAACTAGTTTAACCAGTATGTAGTTTATTCCTCTTCTTTTCTTGCTGCATTTTCACAAACAGCTCTTCTGTTTCTACCTACTTTATTCTGGACCTCCAGAACAAACTGTTCAAGTCTTCCTGGGTCTGTCTCCATGGGAACAGATGATGGTTGAGCTCTGTCACCATGGTAACAAAAAATGGTTCAGGTCTGTCACCATGGTAGTAGACGATGGTTCAGGTCCTCCCCGAGTCTGTCACCATGGTAACAGACACTTGTTCAGTCTTTCTGGGTCTTTCACCATTACTATCGTAACAGACGATAGTTCAGGTCTTCCCCAGGTCTGTCGCCATGGTAACAGACAATTGTTTTGGTCTCCCCGTCTGTCGCCATGGTGACAGATAATTGTTTGGGTCTCCCCAGGTATGTCGCCATGGTGACAGATAATTGTTTGGGTCTCCCCAGGTCTGTCGCCATGGTAACAGACAATTGTTTTGGTCTCCCCGTCTGTCGCCATGGTGACAGATAATTGTTTGGGTCTCCCCGGGTATGTCGCCATGGTGACAGATAATTGTTTGGGTCTCCCCAGGTCTGTTGTCATGGTGACAGACGATGGTTCAGGTCTTCCCCGGGTCTGTCACCATGGAAACCGATTGTGCTCCATGGCTCTGTTCTCTTAGATGAAACAGGGTTGTTGAAGAAACAATTGTTTCCGGATTGTTCAGAACCTCTAAGCGTGGATCCTGGCCTCCTATCAGCAAGTCCAAACATGACTGCGCTGCAAACCAAGCAGCCACGGCCATCATGCATCGCTGTCCAGGAACAAAAACATTCACCTGTTAGGCTAATGGCCTCCTGATGTAGATCTTTGGATGACAGAAATCCACACAAAGCTTCCAAACAATCAGAAAACTCCTGAACTGGTCCAGAGAAACTGAAACAGGACTTGGTTTAAACTCATCCTACCAGATGTTTGTGTTTCAGCTTCTATGCTGTAAAGATGAATTAGATCAATATGTCTCTAACTGTGACGGAGAAAACCACAGATGGAAACTGGAAACGTTCTTCTGTTTTTCAGCTGAAGTGATGAAGGAATCAGCAGGTCACCCTGCAGCTCTTTACTCTGATTGGTCCTCCCACCTTTGCCTTTTTTACCTGAACAGAACCCCTGGGGGCCGGCCTGACCACATCAGACCGTCTCCATAGGAACGGGTCCATCGTACAGAACCAGATATGCTTTGTAGAACCGGACCCTGGTTGACCCAGACCCGACTGCTCCTGAGAACCGTTTTGGACATGTCTGTGTCAGACGGGTCCAGTTTGTCATTTCTCTCATTGGGACTCATCCCCCCCCATCCCCTCTCTCTCTGTTTCTACCATCTGAGCTTTATTAAAATCAACAAACAAACTCACTTCTTCTTCTCTGGTTTATTTATTTACATCTCAGATGACATCACTCTAAAGATGATTTTTAGGTTCTGAGAATCAACAGTAATCTCCAGAAGATCCTCCGGCTTCCGTGTCCTAACCTCTGCATGGCGACGGTTGCTATGCAGCGGGGCATGAATTGGGAGTAACGCCCAGCAGGAAGTGGGCGGTGCTGAGATCCAGGTGGTTGCTCAGGTGAGGCTTGGTGAGCTGCAGGTTCCTCAGACACCCCCTGAACCTGGTCCTGACGGTCAGGCAGTTCTGTTTGACTCCAGCTGCAACAGAGACACACAGGTTAGCCTCTCAGATGTTCACCAGGTCTTCCTCTGGGTCTCTGCTCTGCTCTCACCTGGATAACCCCCCAGGTACACTGGGTTGTTGGTCTCAGCAGAGGTGGATTGTGGGTAGGGGTTGGGGGTGCTGTATTTCCTCCCATCTACCATCAGAGTCAGGGCGTGCTTGGTCTTCCTGGCCTGCAGGTGGTGCCACTGTCCGTCACACAGCATCCGGTCAGCGGAGCGCACCGACACCCGACCTGCGCCGTTGTTCACATTGAAGACCACCTGAGGAGACATCCAGGTGACCTGGGCAGGTCAGCCAATCAGGAAAGAACCAACAGACCTCGTTTGCGGACGCTCACCTGGCCGTCAATCATCTCCAGTCCGACCGCATCCACTTTTGGACTGCTGATTCCCAAAAAGACTCCTTCTGATTGGCTGGTCCGGAACTCCACAGACACCGACATATCGGCACCAACCTTATACCCATCATGCACTGCAGGCACAGACACAGTATAGGTACATGATCTGCTACATGATTGGCTGAACGTTGCCACATGATGTAAAACATAGTGGTTGCCTAGACAACGCTAATAACATCACGCAGCGTCCGTGTGCCGAGTCGGGAGCATCTGTAGCGTTAGCGTGTCTAATGAACGATGAAGTTTTACCTGGAAACTGAAAAAATCTGTTTCTGGTGAACAAAGCAACTGTTAGACCGTGATATAAAGAGCTAGGTAGCGCTGTAGCTAGCTGTGCTCACTGGCTAACAGGTTAGCCCGTTTTACTGGGTGACCAAACGTCCCAGATTTCTGGACTACCTGTCCCGGGCTAAAGCTGTGTCCAGAAATGTCCCCAATTTGACCATTTTAAGAACGAGGGGAAATGTTGCCTGTAGACTGTTATTACGGTAGAAAAGGTTGTGAGCATATTGCGGGCATAAACATCTATTACGGTAGCATGATGATTTAAAAAACTCTGGTTAAAAACCCCTGAACAGACCAACAGAAACGCTTCTCTAAAGCTGCTGAAACCCGACCTGGTCGGATATAAAAGAACCGAAACTGGACTCACTCAGTTCAGCATGCCCGCTGCCATTGAAGTAACTTCCTCTCTGATCCTTGGTGAAGCAGGAAGTGACATCAAGCTGCGAGATGGGCTTGGACAAATCCAGTGTGGCGCCGTTCAGACTGACGGACTGGATGCAACCTGAGAAACTGGAGCTAACCTGAGAGGCAGACAGAAAGGTGTACAAAGGTCACCTGTTACCGGGTAGATCTTCCCACTGCTGGTGATGTCATGAGAACGGTTCTTATGGTCTTACCCCGATCCTCCTGCTGTTCACACCATTAGGAAAACCTCCGAGGAAAAGTGTCCTGTCCACATCCAGGTGGTTCCCTTTGATGGAGACGGACGCTGGACGTAAAGTGTCCACCGTCACTGAGACGGACCTCTGGCTCACCTCGGCGCTCAGCTGAGGGGTTCGGACAAGGCAGAGTTCAACCTTTCAAGTCTGCAAACCTGGACCTGAAGTCGTTGATCTGGACATGGACTCACCGTGTGCCACAGTCCATCGCTGACAGCGGCAGACGACTCGACGGAGGAGGGGCCTTTCCCCAAGTCGACTGACAGCCTGACTTTCCCCCCTATAAGACTGAGGGCAACAAAGTCCATCTGCTTGGAGTCGGAGAGGAGCAGCATCAGGCCATCCAGAACGTGGCTTCGAACCGACATCCTCACCGATACGCTGAGGACAAGGAGACAATCGAGACATCAGGGTCCACCTATTCAGACTTTGTCTGGTAAATCCAGTAAACCGAACAATCTGTCGTAATGGAGACCAACCTCTTTCTAAGTGTGCTGGGGTTGATAATGAAGGTCATGTGACTGTGCCTGGATGAACCAAACTGAGCAGCTGACGACAGGAAGGAAGGTTCCTGGTCCGACGCACACTTAAACACAAACCAGCCCGCCGTTAGATCAGGTACCAATCAGCACTCAGCGGACATCGTCATCAGAGATTGATTAGAAACTCAGACTTTACCGTTAGCGCTTCAGCAGTGAGGGCGCTCAGATGTGTGGGCGGGGCTAAAAGAGCGTCTGCAGGTGCAGGTGTTGGTTCCACATCAGGGTTTTCGGGATCTACCAACCTCAAAGGGCTCTTCTCCAACAGGCAGCTGTTAAACTCCACCCCCTCATACCTGATGGCGACTGATAGGTCAACAAGCCTGCAGACAGACAGCGACCAACAAAAGCTGTTAGCCAATCTGATGGACTGCAAGATCCAGAAACCTTTATATTCACAATTAGACCAGAATGTTGAGACATCAGAATAAAAATTAGCAATAGCCTCCAACCATGACCATCTACAATAACCTTTGGGATTAACGACACATTTTTGTCCTCCATGGAGATCAGCAGAGGACAGAGAAGGACTTACGCTCCGCCCATCACCAGGTGTTGAATACAGCCTCTGAACTGGTGGGACAGAGCTTGCAGTCCGACCGGCAGGCGGGGCTCCTTCTCAGGAGGGATTCCACCGATGAAGACGGAGGACAAAGACAGCCGAGACAATCCTCCCGGCAGAGAGACAGACTTCGGGTGTTCATCGTCCACCTGCAGGGACATAGACCTGGGAGAGAGAGACGGCTCGTTCAGGTGCGGCAGTTCAGGCTGCGGGTGCAGGGGGCCGTTTCCATGGCAACACATACTTCCTGTTCAAAGTCATAATCACTGAGTGCTCTCTTCCATTGCAGAATGATTCTCCATCAGACTTTGTGAGCGAAACCCTTCGCGCGGCTCCGCCCAGTTCGCCAAGCTCCGCCACCACTTTACCTGAGACCAGGTGCAGCGACAGGAAGTGCTGCGCAGACAGAATACAGAACCTCACCCCTCTGCAACATGTAGGATCAACGGTGCATCATTGGATCCGTGCGGCCCCTTACCTGCCGGTGAGGTCGGTCGTCACCGAAGGCTGCCAGGAGGACTCCTGATTGGTTGTTGGAGGAGAAGGTGAAGAGGATCTCTGCCTCCTTACTGAGTGACGAAGGGCTGATCTGAACGAAGCCTCCAGACAACAGAGAGACACTCCGCACCGCCTGAACAATCAACACACAATAAACCGAAACTTGGAAGCTTATCGTCATCAACTGTTAGCATTTCCTACTTTAAGGTCTAGGATGGGGGGGTTACAGGTGTCAGAATGGAGGCTGAGCCAGGCGGGTTTGGTACCTTTAGGACGCAGCCCTTCCGGACTCCATATGCGTCCATCAGCAAGTCAAAGTTGGAGCGAGCAATCTCCACGTTTTTAATACATCCAACATACGTCCGGGATAACACCTGTCGCCTAGCAACCACAAAGACAGTCAGGTACAGAGCAAGTTTCTTTACAGATCTGCTAATGCGACCTCCAGCTAACTGACCTGATGGGTCTGGAAGAAGGGAATCCGCCTATGTAGATCGGGTCCAGGTCATAGCGGTTGAGGTCAGAGGCCGTTCCTGGAGACTCCGCCTCTAACACCTCCTTCACCGATGGCTGGCCGGCTGCCATGATGGAAAGGTAACCTGGACAGAGCCAGAATCCAGTCAAAGGAATGTCTCTTGAACCCATGGGTTCTACTGGTCACTGACCAACCTTTGCGCTTGTTCCTCTGCAGGGTGACCTTGTACCAAATTCCTGTGTTGTACTTCCTGCTGGAGGTCTTGATAAGAGCACCTGAGCCCAGGTCAAATGCCAGACGGACATGCCCCTCAACCAGTTCTAGAGACAGGAAGTCCTTCTGAAGGACAAAGGGAAGCGTAGTCACAGTGTGTCCCCTCCAGAATAAGAGCATTAAAAATGTGTGGCTGTTTTACCGTGTTGTTGGAGGCCAGGTACAGCAGCAGTCCACCTGGAGACAAAGTTTTAAACAGCAGCACCACAGAGGTGGACGTGGCTCTCAGAGACTTCTGGACCACAGAATATCCAGAGCCATCAAAGTAGAAAGACGTCTCCTCTGCCTGGGGACTAAGACACATGGGGATGGCCAGAGATGGGTGAGATATCTGTGGCCTTCAGCCTGATGATGATGTTAGCGCTGAGGTGCTACCTGCTGAAGCAGCCTCCACACTTCCCCTCCCGGCGGTAGTAGCTCCACAGACCAATGTTCTCCTCATTCAGCGATGCCTCACCCAGGCATCCTTGGAAGGAAGATGTGTGCAGCACTGGAGGAGCCTGGATATCACAAACACACACGGCGAGGCTTGATCTGATGGTACTCAGACTCACACACCTGTCCACCTGAAGTAAGGCGGACGTACCTGACTGTTGGCTCCCATTCCTCCGATGTGGATCACCGTGTTTCTGTCGATGTCCAAAACCCGGGATGTTCCCGGTGAAAGCGACGTCACCGCCGGCAGAGGGGGCGACTCAGAGTCCAGCTGATGGACGGAGAGAGAGGCGCGTGCTCCGAACCTAATGACATCACAAATGACATCATCACTGGGACAGATATGAATCTGAGACAGACTCAGAGTTTGTCCAGAAGTTTTCTACCTGGTAACGTTGATTTTGGTCCATCGGTTGTTTGTGATGAATGTTTGAGGGAAGTGCAGCCGTCCTGTGCCAGAGCCCAGGTCCCACAGCAACGAAACCTTCCCATGATGCATCTCTACCGCCAGGAAGTCCTTCTGAAACATTAACACATGCCGCATTTAGGTCTAGCGCTCTTTGGTTTCAGGTTCAGTCACCCAATAGCAAATGATGAAGTTTTTCTCCAGATAGGTTGGATGGCCACTCTGAGTGACAAGGACTAGGAACTGTGACAAAATGAGTGTGTTTGGGGGGGTTTATGTACTGACCTTATGAAGACCGTACTCAATAAGGGTACATTCAAGAGTATACATAGAGTACTTCAGGTAAGTCATAGGATCAGGAATGAATAGTTTCTAAAATGAATGGCGGTCAAGAAAACATCATCATAGGGGTAGGAATACAAACCAGGCTGTATGCGAATGAAAATGTGTGTGTCAAGTCAGGTCATGTTCAACTATGTCCTTATGGGGACCAAAATCCCGCTCCCCATATGGTAGACTACTGCAGTGGTTAGGCGTTAGACACTCTCTCGATGACCCCCCCCCCCCACTCAGTCCGATGACTAGAGCAGTTGGTTAGGGGATCAAAGGCATTGCACGGGCCGGCGCACGTTTGTTGGTATCTCTCAGATCCATAGCCAAGCCAGTTTGTAGAACTTGGAGAATTAGGGTTAGCTTTTAGAGTAATGGCTGGGTTTTAGGGTTAGTGCAAGGATTAAAGTTAGGTTTAGGGCAAGTGTCAAGGTTAGGGATGGGCTAAGTGTAATTTTAAGGCAAGGGTCAGGTGTTAGGTTTAGGTATGGATTCCACTAATATTAGGGTCCGTAGCTAATTGGTCTGGTAAGTTGATAGTAAGGGCTAGAGTTAGGTTTAGGGCAAGTGTCAGGGTTAGGGATCGGCTAAGTGTAATTAAAGGCAAGGGTCAGGTGTTAGGTTTAGGTATGGATTCCACTAATATTAGGGTCCGTAGCTAATTGGTCTGGTAAGTTGATAAACATGAGGGGTTAGGGTCTGGGTTAGGCTATAAGTTTCGAATATATGTCAATCATAACCCCGAAAGTCACAAAAACCAGAATGTGTTTGTGGTGTGTGTGTGTTGGTGGGGGGGTGGGTAGGGTTGCATACCGTGATGTTGCTTCCCAGGTAGAAGAGCAGGTTATTTTGATGGGACGTCTTCAGGATCAGACTCAGAGTGTTGAAGTTACTGGACTGAATAGGTGGTTTGTAGGTCCGAACACAGTCCCTGTCTGCCTGCACCGCCACCTTGATCTGATGAAACCACAAACAAGCTGAGAATCAAGTCCCATTCCCCTTTTTGGTGAGGATGCTGTGATGCCAACTGGTTCAGGAGCGGTTGGAGATATCTGTTCTATTTTAGGAAGGTAAAGCATCTCTGATCTCCTGCTACATCTCGCTGATATAAACCCACTGTGCTGCACAGAGGTGGTTAACCTTGTTGGATGTTATGGGACTCACCATCATCTGAACTTAGTTTTTTCTTAAATTTTCTTTGATATTTATGTATAAAAACCAGGAAGATGACACGTCCACAGTGTTTTCACCATTGATCAGCTGCTAGAACCTCACTACAAGCCCAGCCACGGTACCTTTGACCAAAATGCTAGTATTCCCTTGTGAGGCCTGTGGTCGGAACATTTTTATTTTTCTTATTTCATATATTATTTTATCTTATTCACTCACTATAAAAGTTTTCACTCAGCCTGTTTCACCTGCAAGGCCAAGCAATTCCCCAGCGTGAGAGTGTTTGTAGACATGGCTTGTTCCCTTAACCAACCAGATTCTTTCTCCAGGTTTATTCATAACATGTTACTGTTTAACCAAAGTGTCTGTAATTCGTTTTGACTCTGACTACTTTCCATTGTTGTAAGTTAGGAGGAACGAACGCTGCTCAGGCAGAACAGGGCAGATTACCGCAATAAGGGCCGTATGATGAACTGTTCTCTCTTTGCAAAGATATGAAAATAAAGTGCCGACTGAGTGAAATCAATCGATCTCCGTTTATTTAACTGGGGTGAATGGTTGAATAATTTTTTCCATCTAGCATGATGGAATAAGTGAGATCAGCAGGAGAGCAGCCTAGTCCTGTTCACTGAGACATGGCTAACAGGTTGGGCAACTCTAGACAACATCAGACCTCTAAGGTAATGTACCTGTCCTTGTGTATGTGACATCATCCACGCTCTAAACATCAAACCCTCAGACCCTAATTCTAATCCTGGGGGCTTTGGGACACCCCTCTCTGTCCCTCACCCTCCCCACATTCATCACACCACTGGATTTACTGTAAGTGGACGTCAAACAGGCGTCCAGCTCAGGTATGTAAACCTTATCGGGTTGCAGAAATGTTCCAGGCTTTGAAGAAGTGTCAGTACCGATGCCGCCTGTCTTCGGGCCTGATCGATCAGCTCCCTGATGTCCGACAGATTCCTGCTCAGGGTTTCTCTCAGCACGCTCAGGGGCTTTACTCTTTCCATCAGATGCTGTGTGCGATGCTCCGCCTCCTCTAGGTGGCGCTGCACCTCGTTAGCTAAGCAAACAGGAAGTGTTATTTTTATCACTTGGACTTTTATTTTGGAAGCTTTAGGTTGGTGGCGGACTTTCTGACAGACCTGCAGTCTGAACCCGACTCATTAGGCTGTTGGTCTCCCTCACAGTGATGTTGGTCTTCTCCACCACAGAAGAAGAATTCTCCAGCTGCTGCCTGAGTCTCTGCAGCCTCTGCATCGCCCCCTGCAGGCTGGAGTTTGCTGCTCCAGCCTGAACCTCCGCCTGCTTGGTGGACCTGGATGAGCCTGAAGCACAGTGTTAGTGTTCATGTGTCGTCATCATCATCATCATCATCATCATCATCAGCCTCATCATCCTCATCCTCATCATCCACATCATCATCCTCATCATCCACATCATCATCCTCATCATCATCATCATCATCCTCATCATCCACATCATCCTCATCATCATCCTCATCATCTTCATCATCATCATCCTCATCATCTTCATCATCATCCTCATCATCATCATCCTCATCATCCTCATCCTCATCTTCATCATCATCATCATCATCATCATCCTCATCATCCTCATCATCATCATCATCCTCATCATCATCATCCTCATCATCACTATCATCATCATCCTCATCATCATCATCATCATCATCATCCTCCTCATCATCATCATCATCCTCATCATTCTCATTATCATCATCCTCATCATCATCAGCCTCATCATCCTCATCATCGTCATCATCATCATCCTCATCATCATCCTCATCGTCATCATCATCCTCATCATCATTCCCATCATCATCATCCTCATCTTTATCCTCACAATCATCATCATCATCCTCATCATCATCATCATCATCCTCATCATAATCATCATCCTCATCATCATCACCATCTTCATCCTCACAATCATCATCATCCGCATCATCATCATCCTCATCATCATCATCCTCATCATAATCATCATCCTCATCATCATCACCATCTTCATCCTCACAATCATCATCATCATCATCATCATCATCATCATCATCATCATCCTCATCATCATCATCCTCATCATAATCATCATCCTCATCATCTTCATCCTCATCATCATGATCATCCTCATCATCCTCATCATCAGCTGTCTCACCAATAGGAAGCCTCTGCAGCTCACTGATTGGCTGGCGGAGCAGTGCACTGGAGTTAAGCACACCGTCTCTGACCAATCGCAGTCTGGTGGTTACCATGGAAACATTAATCTGCAGGTCTGAAGGAAAGGGGAACATAAATCCGGGTTTTTGGGATTGCAGCCCACCTGATTTCCTTTGCTTCCACAGAAGAAGAAACATTTGGGATCTGAGGGTGAAAATCAAACAGGATCATCTGACTGTCCCTGGGAATGACACCTCACCTGCATCGCCTACTGATGGCGGTCGGAGGGCCCGGTGGCGACAGTGTACGGCAGCCTAGCTTCTGATGATAGGCTAGGGCAGCTGTGGCTATAATGTAGCTCACCACCATCAGTGTGTGAGTGAATGGCAGAATGAATGAATGAATGAATGAATGAATGAATGAAGAGTAAAGCGCTTTGTTCAGGTGCTCTGACTTAACCAAAGCCATTTACCGTTCACATCAAACCACCTGAACTACCAAAGTCACGTGAACGGAGCGCCGTGCGATTCCCGCTACCCGCTCAGGAGGACGTTCGCTCATTCGCTCCACCGCTCAAAGTAGCTCTAGGATGCTCCGCTATAAATCCGCTCCGCGCTCACCTTAATTTTCCTGCCGCTCCGCCGAAATCGCTTCACGCTCGCTCAGGTTTTCAGCAGAATTTTCTGACATTTTTCCTCCCTGTAATGATGCCAGGGTCCCGGGACGCACGGCGTCTGATTGAATGATGTCATCGATACATGTGGATCGTCTTATTTAACTGGCTGTTTCCCAGCTGTAACACCTCGCTCCATCATGTTGCCCCGCCTTTCCTAGTTAATTATTCATTTATTTTCTAAACTACATTAAAAACGGTCACTTTGCATCGCATTGCAAATGAGATACTAATGCATGTATGGGATGACCTTATGTAAACCCGCTCTCTGTGTTCGTTTTTAGGATATTTTATCCCACTTTTTATCACACATGCAATCCTCGTCACGGCGATTCTGTGGTAAAGCTCTGGAACCGCCGTTATTCAGGCTCAGTTAGCCACGGTTGGTTCCCTCTGAGATTGTCCTAACGATGTGGCCATCGCTCATCCTGGAAGCAGACTGGCCGTCGGTTACCATGGCTACAGCAGTGGTTTTAAAAGCTTCTTTGATGGACCAACAGATGTTCCTGAGAGCTCTGCAGCGTCCATCTGAACCAGAGACCAAACACACCTTCAGCTGTAATGTTGAGCTGCCGACTTTCTTCTAAAACATGGGATGAGATGTTCAGCGTGGCTCCGCCCTCTTCCGACAGCCTCCGCCCTGATTGGACGCTCTGAAAGGCACAGACAGGTTAGAAGGGGGTAGAGGCGTCTCCTCCTTCATCTGGACCAGGACAGCCTATCTCAGTACCATGTTGAGAGCGAGCGAGGCAGAGTTAAGGCCCGCCGAGGCTTCCTGGTGGGCGGAGCCAACTAGCTGAGTGATGTCATCTTCTGAATGAGCCGTCTGGGTGTCGTTGTGGGACACGTTGAACATGGATCTAAAGGAAAAGAGGGAGAACGGGTTTAATGTTTTGGAGGGGAAAGGTTAGAAACAGAAGCACAAATCAGTACCTATGCAGCAGGTCGGCGTGGCGTTTCAGCTGGCAGGCGTGGCGTTCTGCGCGGTTGACGTTCTCCAGAGCGTCGGTCATTTTCAGGCCAACCACCAAGGCTTCCACGTGCTTCCTGAGCTGAGGGCGCCACTGATCCAGCTGGCTGGCCAACAGCTCCACCTGCTGGTCAGAAGGAGGTCAGACTGCGTGCTGCTGCAGAGGTTTGATCATGTGATCAACAGAGCAGGTCTTACTGCGCTGCGGTTTGAGAAGTCTGCAGCCAGACTCAGGGTGTCCTCCAGCAGGTCCTGACTGTCCTCCAGCAGTCTGTCCACAGACAGAACCTCAGAAGTCAGGTTCTGAAGACCCACCTGATCCACACAGGAACACAAACATGGATCAGACTGTTTATCATGGAGTCCAGACAACAGCAGCAGATACCAGGAGCTGAATCACTAACTGTGACATCTATGAAAGATTAAAACCATGGATGATGGATGGATGGATGAATGGATGGATGGATGGATGGATGGATGGATGGATGATGGATGGATGATGGATGGATGGATGGTGGATGGATGGATGGATGGATGGATGGATGAATGGATGGATGAATGGATGGATGGATGATGGATGGATGGATGGATGATGGATGGATGGATGGATGGATGGATGGATGGATGGATGGATGGATGGATGGATGGATGGATGATGGATGGATGGATGATGGATGGATGGATGGATGGATGGATGGATGGATGGATGATGGATGGATGGATGGATGGATGGATGGATGGATGATGGATGGATGGATGGATGGATGGATGGATGGATGGATGGATGGATGGATGGATGGATGATGGATGGATGGATGGATGATGGATGGATGGATGGATGGATGGATGGATGGATGGATGATGGATGGATGATGGATGGATGGATGATGGATGGATGGATGATGGATGATGGATGGATGGATGGATGGATGGATGGATGGATGGATGGATGATGGATGGATGGATGGATGGATGGATGGATGGATGATGGATGGATGGATGATGGATGGATGGATGATGGATGGATGGATGGATGATGGATGGATGGATGATGGATGGATGGATGGATGGATGATGGATGGATGGATGGATGGATGGATGGATGGATGGATGGATGGATGGATGATGGATGGATGGATGGATGGATGGATGGATGGATGGATGGATGGATGGATGATGGATGGATGGATGGATGGATGGATGATGGATGGATGATGGATGGATGGATGGATGGATGGATGGATGGATGATGGATGGATGATGGATGATGGATGATGGATGGATGGATGGATGGATGGATGGATGATGGATGGATGGATGGATGGATGATGGATGGATGGATGGATGGATGGATGATGGATGGATGGATGATGGATGGATGGATGATGGATGGATGGATGATGGATGGATGGATGGATGGATGGATGGATGGATGGATGGATGGATGGATGGATGGATGGATGATGGATGGATGGATGGATGATGGATGGATGGATGGATGGATGGATGGATGGATGATGGATGATGGATGGATGGATGATGGATGGATGGATGATGGATGATGGATGGATGGATGGATGGATGGATGGATGGATGATGGATGGATGGATGGATGATGGATGGATGGATGGATGGATGGATGGATGGATGATGGATGGATGATGGATGGATGGATGATGGATGGATGGATGGATGGATGGATGGATGATGGATGGATGATGGATGGATGATGGATGGATGGATGGATGATGGATGGATGGATGGATGGATGGATGGATGGATGGATGGATGGATGGATGGATGGATGGATGATGGATGGATGATGGATGGATGGATGGATGGATGGATGGATGGATGGATGATGGATGGATGGATGATGGATGGATGGATGGATGATGGATGATGGATGGATGGATGGATGGATGGATGGATGGATGGATGGATGATGGATGGATGGATGGATGGATGATGGATGGATGGATGATGGATGGATGATGGATGGATGGATGGATGATGGATGGATGATGGATGGATGGATGGATGGATGGATGATGGATGGATGATGGATGGATGATGGATGGATGGATGATGGATGGATGATGGATGGATGGATGGATGGATGGATGGATGATGGATGGATGGATGATGGATGGATGATGGATGGATGATGGATGGATGGATGGATGATGGATGGATGGATGGATGGATGGATGATGGATGATGGATGATGGATGGATGATGGATGGATGGATGGATGATGGATGGATGATGGATGGATGGATGGATGATGGATGGATGGATGGATGGATGGATGGATGGATGATGGATGGATGGATGGATGATGGATGGATGGATGGATGGATGGATGATGGATGGATGGATGGATGATGGATGGATGGATGGATGGATGGATGGATGGATGGATGATGGATGGTTGATGGATGGATGATGGATGGATGGATGATGGATGGATGGATGATGGATGGATGATGGATGGATGAATGATGGATGGATGATGGATGGATGATGGATGGATGGATGATGGATGATGGATGGATGATGGATGGATGAATGATGGATGGATGGATGATGGATGGATGATGGATGTATGATGGATGGATGGATGGATGGATGGATGATGGATGGATGGATGATGGATGGATGATGGATGGATGGATGATGGATGGATGGATGGATGGATGGATGGATGATGGATGGATGGATGATGGATGGATGGATGATGGATGGATGATGGATGGATGGATGATGGATGGATGGATGATGGATGGATGGATGATGGATGGATGGATGATGGATGGATGATGGATGGATGGATGGATGGATGGATGGATGATGGATGGATGATGGATGGATGGATGGATGGATGGATGGATGGATGGATGGATGGATGGATGATGGATGGATGGATGGATGGATGGATGATGGATGGATGGATGGATGGATGATGGATGATGGATGGATGGATGGATGGATGGATGGTTGGATGATGGATGGATGGATGATGGATGGATGGATGGATGGATGGATGATGGATGGATGGATGGATGGATGGATGGATGATGGATGGATGATGGATGGATGGATGATGGATGGATGGATGATGGATGGATGATGGATGGATGAATGGATGGATGGATGATGGATGGATGGATGGATGATGGATGGATGGATGATGGATGATGGATGGATGGATGGATGGATGGATGGATGGATGGATGGATGATGGATGGATGGATGATGGATGGATGGATGGATGGATGATGGATGGATGGATGGATGGATGATGGATGGATGGATGGATGATGGATGGATGATGGATGGATGGATGATGGATGGATGGATGATGGATGGATGGATGGATGGATGATGGATGGATGGATGATGGATGGATGGATGGATGGATGGATGATGGATGGATGGATAGATGATGGATGGATGATGGATGGATGGATGATGGATGGATGGATGATGGATGGATGGATGGATGGATGATGGATGGATGGATGGATGGATGGATGATGGATGGATGATGGATGGATGGATGGATGGATGATGGATGGATGGATGGATGATGGATGGATGGATGGATGGATAATGGATGGATGGATGGATGATGGATGGATGATGGATGGATGGATGATGGATGGATGGATGATGGATGGATGGATGGATGATGGATGGATGGATGATGGATGGATGGATGGATGGATGGATGGATGATGGATGGATGGATGGATGATGGATGGATGATGGATGGATGATGGATGGATGGATGATGGATGGATGGATGGATGGATGATGGATGGATGATGGATGGATGGATGGATGGATGATGGATGGATGGATGGATGATGGATGGATGGATGGATGGATGGATGGATGGAGAATGGATGGATGGATGGATGATGGATGGATGGATGGATGGATGATGGATGGATGATGGATGGATGGATGGACGATGGATGGATGGATGGATGGATGATGGATGGATGATGGATGGATGGATGATGGATGGATGGATGATGGATGGATGGATGGATGGATGGATGGATGATGGATGGATGGATGGATGGATGGATGGATGGATGGATGGATGATGGATGGATGGATGGATGGATGATGGATGGATGGATGATGGATGGATGATGGATGGATGGATGGATGATGGATGGATGGATGGATGGATGGATGGATGGATGATGGATGGATGGATGGATGATGGATGGATGGATGATGGATGGATGGATGATGGATGGATGGATGATGGATGGATGATGGATGGATGGATGATGGATGGATGGATGGATGGATGGATGATGGATGGATGGATGGATGGATGGATGATGGATGATGGATGGATGGATGGATGGATGGATGGTTGGATGATGGATGGATGGATGATGGATGGATGGATGATGGATGATGGATGGATGGATGGATGGATGGATGGATGATGGATGGATGATGGATGGATGGATGATGGATGGATGGATGATGGATGGATGATGGATGGATGGATGGATGGATGGATGATGGATGGATGGATGGATGATGGATGGATGGATGATGGATGATGGATGGATGGATGGATGGATGGATGGATGGATGGATGGATGGATGATGGATGGATGGATGATGGATGGATGGATGGATGGATGATGGATGATGGATGGATGGATGGATGGATGATGGATGGATGGATGGATGATGGATGGATGATGGATGGATGGATGATGGATGGATGGATGATGGATGGATGGATGGATGGATGGATGATGGATGGATGGATGATGGATGGATGGATGGATGGATGGATGATGGATGGATGGATGGATGATGGATGGATGATGGATGGATGGATGATGGATGGATGATGGATGGATGGATGATGGATGGATGGATGGATGGATGATGGATGGATGGATGGATGATGGATGGATGATGGATGGATGGATGGATGGATGATGGATGGATGGATGGATGATGGATGGATGGATGGATGGATAATGGATGGATGGATGGATGATGGATGGATGATGGATGGATGGATGATGGATGGATGGATGATGGATGGATGGATGGATGGATGATGGATGGATGGATGATGGATGGATGGATGGATGGATGGATGGATGATGGATGGATGGATGGATGATGGATGGATGATGGATGGATGGATGGATGATGGATGGATGGATGGATGATGGATGGATGGATGGATGGATGATGGATGGATGATGGATGGATGGATGGATGATGGATGGATGGATGGATGATGGATGGATGGATGGATGGATGGAGAATGGATGGATGGATGGATGATGGATGGATGGATGGATGGATGATGGATGGATGATGGATGGATGGATGGACGATGGATGGATGGATGGATGGATGATGGATGGATGATGGATGGATGGATGATGGATGGATGGATGATGGATGGATGGATGGATGGATGGATGGATGATGGATGGATGGATGGATGGATGGATGGATGGATGGATGGATGGATGGATGGATGGATGGATGGATGGATGGATGGATGGATGATGGATGGATGGATGATGGATGGATGATGGATGGATGGATGGATGATGGATGGATGGATGGATGGATGGATGGATGGATGATGGATGGATGGATGGATGATGGATGGATGGATGATGGATGGATGGATGATGGATGGATGGATGATGGATGGATGATGGATGGATGGATGATGGATGGATGGATGGATGGATGATGGATGGATGGATGGATGATGGATGGATGATGGATGGATGAATGATGGATGGATGGATGGATGGATGATGGATGGATGGATGATGGATGGATGATGGATGGATGATGGATGGATGAATGATGGATGGATGGATGGATGGATGATGGATGATGGATGGATGATGGATGGATGATGGATGAATGATGGATGGATGGATGGATGATGGATGATGGATGGATGATGGATGGATGATGGATGGATGAATGATGGATGGATGGATGGATGGATGATGGATGAATGATGGATGGATGGATGGAACGATGATGGATGATGGATGGATGATGGATGGATGAATGATGGATGGATGATGGATGGATGATGGATGATGGATGGATGATGGATGGATGATGGATGAATGATGGATGGATGGATGGATGGATGATGGATGATGGATGGATGATGGATGGATGATGGATGATGGATGGATGATGGAAGGATGAATGATGGATGGATGGATGGATGGATGGATGGATGATGGATGGATGATGGATGGATGATGGATGGATGGATGGATGATGGATGGATGGATGATGGATGGATGATGGATGATGGATGGATGGATGCTGACCTGATGGTGGCGCTGCAGATCTCCTACAGCTTCCAGAAGTTTGTGTGTTTCATTGTTTCTCCGTTCAGCTTCACTCAGCTGGATGGTTGCATTCTTCAGTGTTGTCATGGCAACAGAGAGTGAGTCTCTGAGGAGGCGGGACTTGTTCTCACCTGCAGCCCACCTGGACAGTAAATCCAGCTGCAGCGAGGTGAGCAGAGACTCTGAGGAGCTGCAGAGAGAGACAGCCATCAGAAGAGAACTGGTCCTCCTTCAGGGACATCATGTCTGGGGGGGGGGGGACCCACCGGAGCTCCTGATTGGCTGATGACGTTGCTGCTGTGAGGTTTAAACCTCTGATGGTCTCCATCATGGACTCCAGCTCCTGCAGTAGATGGGTCCTTCTGCTCACATAGAACTCCTCCTCATTGGTCTGGTTCAGATGCTCCGCCTCCTTCTGCAGCTCTGAACCAATGACAGATCAGCGTTAGTGGAGGTTGACCTTCCTGGTTGCTCTGACCTCATGGGTCGGTACCGCTGAGGTTCTGGTTCTACAGCTGTTCTACTGCCAGGAGCTCCCGCCCCAAACATCTATGTTCTCTCTGTTATGATCTATTCAGTACTGATCTATTCTATTCTGCTCTATTCTAGTTTATTTAAATCTGTTCTAACCTATTTGTTGGATTCTGTTGTATTCTATTCTATTCTATCCTGTTCTACTCCATAGACTCCATCCAGTCTGCTTCTTCAGGACGTCTCTCTGATCTTCTCGTTTATTTCGATGTTTAATTTCTTTATTAAATTTATTTCCTGCTCTGTGGAAATCGAAGCTGATTTTAGTTTTCTGACATCCTGTGGGTGTTTTTACCCTGAATGCTGTCTTGAAGGCTGCTGACCCTCCCCAGCAGCAGCTGGCTGTGGGTGCAGCTCTGGTTGGTGGAGATGTGAAGATCCATCAGGCTGTCAGACAGACGCGTCACCTGACCAATCAGCAGACAGGAAAGATAAAACAGCAGGAATGGATCACAGAGCTGTTAAAGGTCAGGGTGACCATCAGAGGGGCGTCCCACCAGACTCCCTGAAACCAGCATCTCCTTCCTGAAGGTCTAAATGAGGTGAGTCTACCTGCTGCTGCGCTGCGCTGAGGTCAGAGGTCAGGTGCTTCACCTCCTGGTCCAAAGCAGACAGGTGTGAAGCTACGGCTCTGTCTGAGGAGATCCGGGCCTGGAACCAGAGCTCAGGTCAGAACAGCAGCCATGTTTAACATCAGGAGGAGACGCTCCGTCGCTCACCTTCAGCACTTTGCTCTGATTCTCCAGCGGCACCAGCTGCCAGTGAGGCGCCATGGCGACGGCGCTCAGGTTGACGGACAGGAAGTAGCTGCTGAGTGTTTCCAGGTCGTCCAGCAGAACGCCGGTGCAGCCATCGTCACAAGCTGTTAGAAACAGGCGTGAGGCGGCCGCAGTGACATCAGCAACATAACCTGAGCCTAAGCATGGGGGGGCGGGACTTACGGACGCACTCTTCCTGCTGCAGGACGTGGCGTTCCTCACACTGGTCACATGACTGACCTCTGACCCCTGGCTTACACTCACACTGTCCGGTGACCTCATCACACCCCCGATGCAGGGAGCCCCACCCGCTGCAGCCGCAGAGCGAGCAAGCCCCGCCTGGCGAGGATGGGTTTCCATGGTAACCAGCTGAACACCTGCACCACAGAAGCACATGTGAGGTCAGCACAGGTGAGATAACTGCTCCAAAAATAAATACGCATAGAATTAATTGACCCCCAAAAATACAATAAATAAATAAATGTAGGTAGAAATTAAATTATACAGTGAGACATAAATGTATATATCTCTTTTAATTAGCTTTGTTTATTTGCCTTTGTTATAATTACCTTATTTATTTATTGTCCATTATAGTCTTCAGCTTTATTTAATTATTATTTATATCTTTAAGTATTTATTGTTGTGCATGTTCTAATATCTTTGTCTGTTTTATTCTTCCTATTTCTTTCTTCCTGTTGTTTTTGCGTTTCTGCCTTATTATGCAAATGAGGAGGGGGCGGGTCTTAGAGGGTCACCTTCTGCCCATTGGTCGGTTTGCAGTTGCTATATGTCTCAGCTCACTGACCAATGGGTACCCATGTTTGTTGTGTCTGTGATAGTCAGTGCAGACACATGAAAATAAGTATTTCTATCCTGTATAGAACTTCTGCATAGATGCAAACTACATTTTGTTGCTTTGCACTTGTGAAAGTGTGATGACAATAAAGTTGAATTTCTATTATTTTCTATTCTATTCCAACCAGGCTCAGTGTGAGCGGCCATCTGCTGAGGCCGACTGGGGTTCAAGGAGACAAAAGCAGATATAGAAAAGGGACATAGAAGCTCTGATCTATAAACACATTCTATGTTAGCAAAGCTAACAGTAAAGGCGGCTCTGTCTGGGATAGAAACGTTTAATCAGACGAGCTCTGAGGCGTCAGAGAGCAGATGAAGCGGTGTTGTGGTGAAATTCGTCACCTCTCACAGTGTCTGCCTTCGTATCCGGTCAGGCAGGCGGTGCAGCGGTAATCGGCGCCCTCTGCTTCACAGCTGGGACTGAAACTGGAGATATGAGCTGTTAAACACTGACAGAAGGACTCGGCAGACAGCTGAAGGGACAGCTGCAGTTCACCTGTTGCTCAGTAGGGGGCAGGCACACAGGGAACAGTCGCTTGCAGAGCCGCTGATGTTTCCATAGTAACCCGGAGCGCAGACGTTGCATTGCGGCCCGCTGGTATGATGCTGACAGTCCTGAGGAAAGATCAGCTCGCTTTAATATTGGAGCACCGGGGGGCGCTGAACCTGAAACCACCTGGACTCGGAGCTTACCTGACAGTCTCCGGTCTCTGGGTCACAACTGGAACTATGGTTGTTGCAGCGACACGGAACACAGGGACGCACCAACATGGTCTTCAGACTCTGAGGAGGGAGCTCAGACAGGGGCTGCCGGAAAAAACCCACCGCACACTCCTGTAGACGAGTCAGAGAGGAACGAGTCAGAGAGGGATGGGTCAGAGGAATGAGTCAGAGAGGGACGAGAGGAACTGCTCAGAAAAGAAAGCGGCAGAGATAAACTTGTCAGAGAGGGACATGTCAGAAAGGAATGAGTCAGAGGGGCACGAGTCAAAGAGGAACGAGTCATAAAGGAACTGGTCAGAGAGGAACTAGTCAGAGAGGGACGAGTCAAAGAGGAACTAGTCAGAGAGGGACAAGTCCAAGATGAAGGAGTCAGAGAGGGACTAGTCAGAGAAGAACTTGTCAAAGAGGAACGAGTCAGAGAGGAACTGGTCAGAGAGGAAGTAGTCAGAGAAGAACTGGTCAGAGAGGAACGAGTCAGAGAGGAACTGGTCAGAGAGGAACTAGTCAGAGAAGAACTTGTCAAAGAGGAACGAGTCAGAGAGGAACTGGTCAGAGAGGGATGAGTCAAGGAGAGACAGAAAACTTTTAACCAATCTGACTGAATTGTCTCTGCAAAGTGACATGAGCCAACAGGATGTGAATTGGGGCTATAGAAATAAACTTAATAGAATAGAATGAATTGAATTTTAGAGTCGAACTGCTACGGAACTATATTTGAACATTCTTCTATGAGTTTTAGAACCTTTAGATCCTTGATTCACATTTTCATCTGTTGTTCTAACAAAGCGTGTGTTCACAGACAATATAAAAATAATATCTGATTAAATGACATATTTACGACCCCTACTGGACTGGGTAAAAAACATTAAAGTTGGACACTAGAAAATAATGAGAATCTCTGACTCCTGATGATTGCTGAAGGAAGCTAGATCAACCCTACCTGACAGGACAGTCCGGCGTATCCGGGCGGACAGAGGCAGGACTCGATCAGTCTGGCCTTTTCCCGGGAGTCACCTGACTCCGCCTTCACAGCCGTCTCCATGGTGATGTTAGAAATCCTCCATGAAAGAAGAAGGAAGATGTCTGGGTTAGTGAAATGGAGTCTGAACTTCAGGGTAGTGTTTGTACTCTCTAGCACTCTGTAGTACTCTGTAGCACTCTGTAGTACTCTGTAGTACTCTGTAGTACTCTGTAGTACTGTGTAGTGCTGTGTAGTAGTGTGCAGGTACCTGCTCTGCTGCAGCCCGGTTCCGTACGAAGCCTTGATCAGGATGTTCTGGACGTTACTGAGGACGGACATAAAATCTGCACGGCTCACCGACCTCTGAGACACCGAGTTGAAATATTTCCACTCGTGCTGTAAAAGAGAACCAGTCAGAACCAGCCAGATCCAGTCGGAAGCAGCCAGAACCAGCCAGAACCAGTCGGAACCAGCCAGAACCAGCCGGAACCAGTCGGAACCAGCCAGAACCAGCCAGAACCAGCCGGAACCAGTCGGAACCAGTCGGAACCAGCCGGAACCAGTCGGAACTGGTAAGAACCAGCCAGAACCAGTCGGAACCAGTTGGAACCAGTCAGAACCAGCCAGAACCAGTCGGAACCAGCCAGAACCAGCCATAACCAGTCAGAACCAGCCAGAACCAGTCGGAACCAGTCAGAACCAGTCGGAACCAGCCAGAACCAGTCGGAACCAGCCAGAATTGGGGACCTTCTAAAAAACCTCCCAGGATGCTTTGCTGCCCTACCTCCATCAGCCTGATGTCATGCTGTGTCGCAATGCCGTTGCTAGGAGCAACCATGTCAGTGTAGATGACGTGCTTCCTTAGGGTCCCGCCCCTCATGAGTATCTGAGGCTCCTGATTGGACAGTCCTGAGCCATCCTCAGCATAGAAAGTGATGATGTAAGACAGCAGGCCGCCATATGACATCAGCTGCACAGAGTCAGAGAGGTACTTCAGTAAATACGTAAACGCATACGGTAAATACACCGAATTACACTCAGGTACTACGATAAACACAGGGAATGTACTTTGGTAAATACGCAACAGAAAAAAAACGATGAAGATAGGAAATCTATTGGTTCTAGATCTAGAAAGAAGATGAATAAACTCTGGATGATGAAGATCTGAGGAAGTTTGCAGCTGCAGATATAGAGACGTAATTTCTGCAGGAAGCATCATCTATTAAAATAATAAATATTTCCTAATAAACGTTAAAGTTTAAAGTTTGCCTTTATGACGGTAAGACCTTAACACCTGTTTATCTTTAGCAGACTGCTTCTTACTGACTGTTCATAGGTTTTGATTTATGATGTTTGGAATGGAAGAGCAACAAAAACCTTTAAAATTATGAATATTCCAATAGAAGGGACCAATTATATTAGCAACAAGGCTGGAACTATAACAGGAGGCGGGATTTACCTGGTTTCCTTCAACATGGGGGGGCAGCCTCCAGTAGAGGGGGCCAGCGAGTCCACTGCTGTTTAACTGCCGGGCATCAAACAGCATTTCGCCGCCATGTTGGAACACCCCAGCTGCTACAGACTGCAGGCTGGACAGACTGACCAACGACAGGACGTCTGTAGACTGACCCATACTGACCTGTGGGTGGGGCATGTAATCAATGCATACAGCTGCGTATTCCTCAAGTAGTGATGTAGTATTGCTGTAGTAGTGAATTAATATTGCTGTAGTAGTGAATTAATATTGCTGTAGTAGTGATGTAGTATTGCTGTAGTATTGAGGTAGTATTGCTGTAGTAGTGAGGTTGTATTGCTGTAGTAGTGATGTAGTATTGCTGTAGTAGTGAGATAGTATTGCTGTAGTAGTTATGTATTATTGCTGTAGTAGTGATGTAGTATTGCTGTAGTAGTGATGTAATATTCCTGTAGTGGTTATGTGGTATTGCTGTAGTAGTGATGTAGTATTGCTGTAGTAGTGATGTAGTATTGCTGTAGTATTGAGGTAGTATTGCTATAGTAGTGATGTAATATTCCTGTAGTGGTTATGTGGTATTGCTGTAGTAGTGATGTAGTATTGCTGTAGTAGTGAGGTAGTATTGCTGTAGTAGTGATGTAATATTCCTGTAGTGGTTATGTGGTATTGCTGTAGTAGTGATGTAGTATTGCTGTAGTAGTGATGTAGTATTGCTGTAGTAGTGAGATAGTATTGCTGTAGTAGTGAGATAGTATTGCTGTAGTAGTGAGATAGTATTGCTGTAGTAGTGAGATAGTATTGCTGTAGCAGTGAGATAGTATTGCTGTAGCAGTGAGATAGTATTGCTGTAGTAGTGAGATAGTATTGCTGTAGTAGTGAGACAGTATTGCTGTAGTAGTGAGACAGTATTGCTGTAGTAGTGAATTAATATTGCTGTAGTAGTGAATTAATATTGCTGTAGTAGTGATGTAGTATTGCTGTAGTATTGAGGTAGTATTGCTGTAGTAGTGAGGTTGTATTGCTGTAGTAGTGATGTAGTATTGCTGTAGTAGTGAGATAGTATTGCTGTAGTAGTGATGTATTATTGCTGTAGTAGTGATGTAGTATTGCTGTAGTAGTGATGTAGTATTGCTGTAGTATTGAGGTAGTATTGCTATAGTAGTGATGTAATATTCCTGTAGTGGTTATGTGGTATTGCTGTAGTAGTGATGTAGTATTGCTGTAGTAGTGATGTAGTATTGCTGTAGTAGTGATGTAGTATTCCTGTAGTGGTTATGTGGTATTGCTGTAGTAGTGATGTAGTATTGCTGTAGTAGTGATGTAGTATTGCTGTAGTAGTGATGTAGTATTGCTGTAGTAGTGAGATAGTATTGCTGTAGTAGTGAGATAGTATTGCTATAGTAGTGAGATAGTATTGCTGTAGTAGTGAGATAGTATTGCTGTAGTAGTGAGATAGTATTGCTGTAGTAGTTAGGTAGTATTGCTGTAGTAGTGAAATAGTATTGCTGTAGTAGTTAGGTAGTATTGCTGTAGTAGTTAGGTAGTATTGCTGTAGTAGTGAATTTGTATTGCTGTAGTAGTGATGTAATATTCCTGTAGTGGTTATGTGGTATTGCTGTAGTAGTGATGTAGTATTGCTGTAGTAGTGATGTAGTATTGCTGTAGTAGTGAGATAGTATTGCTGTAGCAGTGAGATAGTATTGCTGTAGTAGTGATGTAGTATTGCTGTAGCAGTGAGATAGTATTGCTGTAGTAGTGAGATAGTATTGCTTTAGTAGTGATGTAGTATTGCTGTAGTAGTGAGATAGTATTGCTGTAGTATTCCTGTAGTATTGCTGTAGTATTCCTGTAGTAGTGATGTAGTATTCCTGTAGTATTGCTGTAGTATTCCTGTAGTAGTGATGTAGTAGTGATGTAGTATTGCTGTAGTAGTGAGATAGTATTGCTGTAGTATTCCTGTAGTATTGCTGTAGTATTCCTGTAGTAGTGATGTAGTATTCCTGTAGTATTGCTGTAGTATTGCTGTAGTATTCCTGTAGTAGTGATGTAGTAGTGATGTAGTATTGCTGTAGCAGTGAGATAGTATTGCTGTAGTAGTGAGATAGTATTGCTGTAGTAGTGAGATAGTATTGCTTTAGTAGTGATGTAGTATTGCTGTAGTAGTGAGATAGCATTGCTGTAGTATTGCTGTAGTATTCCTGTAGTAGTGATGTAGTATTCCTGTAGTATTGCTGTAGTATTGCTGTAGTATTCCTGTAGTAGTGATGTAGTAGTGATGTAGTATTGCTGTAGTAGTGAGATAGTATTGCTGTAGTATTCCTGTAGTATTGCTGTAGTATTCCTGTAGTAGTGATGTAGTATTCCTGTAGTATTGCTGTAGTATTCCTGTAGTATTGCTGTAGTATTCCTGTAGTATTGCTGTAGTATTCCTGTAGTATTGCTGTAGTATTCCTGTAGTAGTGATGTAGTATTGTTGTAGTAGTGAGATAGTATTGCTGTAGTATTCCTGTAGTATTGCTGTAGTATTCATGTAGTATTCCTGTAGTATTGCTGTAGTATTCCTGTAGTATTGCTGTAGTATTCCTGTAGTAGTGATGTAGTAGTGATGTAGTATTGCTGTAGTAGTGAGATAGTATTGCTGTAGTATTCCTGTAGTATTGCTGTAGTATTCCTGTAGTAGTGATGTAGTATTCCTGTAGTATTGCTGTAGTATTCCTGTAGTATTGCTGTAGTATTCCTGTAGTATTGCTGTAGTATTCCTGTAGTAGTGATGTAGTATTCCTGTAGTATTGCTGTAGTATTGATGTAGTATTCCTGTAGTAGTGATGTAGTATTCCTGTAGTATTGCTGTAGTATTCCTGTAGTAGTGATGTAGTATTCCTGTAGTATTCCTGTAGTATTGCTGTAGTATTGCTGTAGTTCTTACAGACACTCGGCGCAGGCCTCCCTGCTCCTCACAGTCTCGGCTCAGTCCAGAACAGAAACACTCTGAACATCCGTTTGGATTCTGGTCTGATAGAGCGAACCAACCAGAAACGCACTCCTCACAGCGCCGACCCGACACGCCAGGCTGAGCAAAGATCAAAGGACACCTTTCATCATCATCACCATCATCATCAGCATCATCATCCTCTGCACCCGGCAGACGTTAAACTTGGTTCCTCCTGGTTCTGGTTCTGGTTCCTACCTTGCACCCACACTCTCCGGTCCGTCCACATTCACATACGCCGAGCGTTCTGTTGCAGAACGTCTCATGGGTTCCTGCCAAATCACAGCTGCACGCTGAGCATGATGGGTAACCGTAGTGACCAAATGCGCATCGATCACATGACCTGCCAGAGAATCCGTCCCTGCAGGGACACTGCCCAGTCAGCAGGTCACACTGGGGGGCGGAGCTTCCTGCTGGGCTGCAGCTGCAGGGCTGTAGAGACACTGGTGGTTATGGGCTGACAGCGGACTGGGGCGGGGGATGGCGTGGCGTCTGTGGGTACCTTGCATCCTGTGACGTGGTCAATGCCCCAGAATCCCTTCTTACACCTGTCGCAGGTGTCTCCCTCTGTGTTGGGGGGGCAGACACACTCTCCGCTGTCAGGGTCGCAGTTTCCCCTAGTGCGCTCACAGATGCATTCTGGGAAATCAGAAACAGGCTCATTAGACTGTTGGCGACGGCAGAGCTTCTCAGACAGACCGTCACGCCTTTTACCTGTGCAGTTGGTGCCGCGGTAGCCATAGTAACCATGGCCACAGCAATCGCACTTGACCCCAGCTACGCCCTTTTTGCAGTGGCACTGGCCGTCCTCGTCACATGACTCAGACTCAGATCCTGATTGGCTGCAGCCGCAGGGCTGACAGCCCCGCCCACTTTGAAGCCCGAAGAACCCCGACTGAAAACGGACATAAATTAAGATTAAGACCTATAGAATGGATGTCAGTCATTGAAATGTCCCCATAAATCATATAAGACATGTGTTACCTTGCAACGGTCACAGGTGCGTCCTGTCACGTTCTCTCTGCACAGACACTGGCCTGTTGTGATGTCACATACACCAGAGAGGGAGCCGTTTACATCACAGCCGCAGTCTGTAAGAAAAGGCCCGCCCACTGTCAGTGACATCATTCTATGACTCCTCCCACCTAAAATGAACTGATAGTTTCTGGTCCCCTTGGATGAATCGGACTCGTTTTACTCTGGGGGATTTTCTCTGGTAGCCTGCAGTATCTGTACTTCACCACCAGATGGCGGCATAGTGTCCTCAGCAGAAGGAAGTCAGAGGTCAGAGATAATCAGATTTCAGGAGATCAACATTCCTGCAGGGAATCAGTAGCTGCTGCTGTCAGCAGAGCAGGTCGACCTGTGAGGAAGGAAACCCTGTTCTGGTTCTGGTTCAGTCCAAATCTCACCACGTTTAAAAGATCCAAAGATTTCATTTAAATGCCATTTTATCCGTTTCAGGATTTGACCGCCTCACCCTCTGTGTCGTCATAGCAACCACTGGCATACTTAGGCCGTTTCTCACTTTACTAGAACGTGAGTACGGACTCGTGTTCTCGCCAAGTACGTTCTTGACTAGAACCCAGAAAAGTTTGGACTCTGGGAGAACGTGAAGAAGCGTACTGATGACATCACCACATTCAAAGCTAGCCTGGAGCCGCATTTCACCTCCTGTTACTAATAGGCTCTAGATAATAATAAATTATGACTTTTTTCATTTAGTGGAGGAATAATAATGAACACAGTCAGATAAACACAAATCAAATGAACATTTTGCCAAATAAAACAATCAAACCTCCATCAGAACCAACGGTCCTTCACACACGGCTATGCAGAGAGAGGGCTGCTGCAGACAGGCTAACGTTAGCCCTGTCCGCTGCAGACGGGCTAACGTTAGCCCTGGCCGCTGCAGACGGGCTAACGTTAGCCCTGGCCGCTGCAGACGGGCTAATGTTAGCCCTGGTCACAGCAGACGGGCTAACGTTAGCCCTGGCCGCTACAGACGGGCTAATGTTAGCCCTGGCCAATGCAGACGGGCTAACGTTAGCCCTGGCTGCTACGGACGGGCTAACGTTAGCCCTGGCCGCTACAGACGGGCTAACGTTAGCCCTGGCCGCTACAGACGGGCTAACGTTAGCCCTGGCCGCTACAGACGGGCTAATGTTAGCCCTGGCCAACGCAGACGGGCTAACGTTAGCCCTGGCTGCTACGGACGGGCTAACGTTAGCCCTGGCCGCTACGGACGGGCTAACGTTAGCCCTGGCCGCTACAGACGGGCTAACGTTAGCCCTGGCCGCTACAGACGGGCTAACGTTAGCCCTGGCTGCTGTTACCCTTGGAACTCCGCTGGTTGCTGCGGTCCTCTCAACTTTGGAATATTATTTTTAAATCTGCACTAAATCAGTAAATGTTCCATAAAGTGAAAATTAAAATGTAATTTTCTTGCCAAATGATCCTAAAACGTACTTTTATTGAACAACAGCAACAGAAAAGAGAACCTTTAACTTAATCCTCTGAACTCTGTGAGCGCTAACCTGGAAGCTGCTGCTGCAGCAGTGCATGCTGTGACAGCTGTCAGTCTGGAGGACGGACAAGTCTGCTCTGATGTATGCTGGGTAAAGAGGGAGGGGCCAGAACAACATCCGACGACTTGATCCGTTCTCGTAGACTGAGAAACGGCCTGAGATTCAGGTGTTCCAGCCAAACTAAAAAACCTTCTTGCAGAAGAAATTACTGCAACAATTTTTAAGCTAATTTTCTCTTGGTTCAATGCTGTAAACTCACCTTTGCAATCTTTGGCGAGGACAGCGTCGCCATAGTAACCCGGACGACACAGCTCGCAGTGTTTTCCTGCCGTGTTGCCGAGGCACTGCAGACATTCCCCCGTCACAGAATCACAGTATCCGTCCTCACTGAAGTTAGCATTGCCGTTACACTCGCAGCTCACACAAGCCCCGCCCACTACCTGGGGGTTACCATAGAAACCACTGGCACACCTGGAGACAAGCGCAGGGAAGTTAAGATGAGGCGTTTCTGGTTGATGTGGTAATCAGCGCAGCTGTGGTCCGCACCTCTCACAGTTTGACCCGGTGTATCCATGCTGGCACTGGTCACATGACACCTCACCGGACGCATCCAGTACACAGGTGGGACTGAAACTGAAGCAGACAGGGGACAATACAACTGAGACACACTGCTGGGACTGAAACTGAAGGAGACAGGGGACAATAAAACTGAGACACACTGATAGGACTGAAACTGAAGGAGAAAGGGGACAATACAACTGAGACAGACTGATAGGACTGAAACTGAAGGAGACAGGGGACAATAAAACTGAGACACACTGATAGGACTGAAACTGAAGGAGACAGGGGACAATACAACTGAGACAGACTGATAGGACTGAAACTGAAGCAGACAGGGGACAATACAACTGAGACACACTGATAGGACTGAAACTGAAGGAGACAGGGGACAATAAAACTGAGACACACTGATAGGACTGAAACTGAAGGAGACAGGGGACAATACAACTGAGACACACTGATAGGACTGAAACTGAAGGAGACAGGGGACAATAAAACTGAGACACACTGATAGGACTGAAACTGAAGCAGAGACAGGGGACAATACAACTGAGACACACTGATAGGACTGAAACTGAAGGAGACAGGGGACAATAAAACTGAGACACACTGATAGGACTGAAACTGAAGGAGACAGGGGGCAATACAACTGAGACAGACTGATAGGACTGAAACTGAAGCAGACAGGGGACAATACAACCGAGACACACTGATAGGACTGAAACTGAAGCAGAGACAGGGGACAATACAACTGAGACACACTGATAGGACTGAAACTGAAGCAGACAGGGGACAATACAACTGAGACAGACTGATAGGACTGAAACTGAAGGAGACGGGACAATACAACTGAGACACACTGATAGGACTGAAACTGAAGCAGACAGGGGACAATACAACTGAGACACACTGATAGGACTGAAACTGAAGGAGACAGGGGACAATAAAACTGAGACACACTGATAGGACTGAAACTGAAGGAGACAGGGGACAATAAAACTGAGACACACTGATAGGACTGAAACTGAAGGAGACAGGGGACAATACAACTGAGACAGACTGATAGGACTGAAACTGAAGCAGACAGGGGACAATACAACTAAGACACACTGATAGGACTGAAACTGAAGGAGACAGGGGACAAGAAAACTGAGACACACTGATAGGACTGAAACTGAAGGAGACAGGGGACAATAAAACTGAGACACACTGATAGGACTGAAACTGAAGGAGACAGGGGACAATACAACTGAGACAGACTGATAGGACTGAAACTGAAGCAGACAGGGGACAATACAACTAAGACACACTGATAGGACTGAAACTGAAGCAGACAGGGGACAATACAACCGAGACACACTGATAGGACTGAAACTGAAGCAGAGACAGGGGACAATACAACTGAGACACACTGATAGGACTGAAACTGAAGCAGACAGGGGACAATACAACTGAGACAGACTGATAGGACTGAAACTGAAGGAGACAGGGGACAATACAACTGAGACACACTGATAGGACTGAAACTGAAGCAGACAGGGGACAATACAACTGAGACACACTGATAGGACTGAAACTGAAGGAGACAGGGGACAATAAAACTGAGACACACTGATAGGACTGAAACTGAAGGAGACAGGGGACAATAAAACTGAGACACACTGATAGGACTGAAACTGAAGGAGACAGGGGACAATACAACTGAGACAGACTGATAGGACTGAAACTGAAGCAGACAGGGGACAATACAACTAAGACACACTGATAGGACTGAAACTGAAGGAGACAGGGGACAATAAAACTGAGACACACTGATAGGACTGAAACTGAAGGAGACAGGGGACAATACAACTGAGACATACTGATAGGACTGAAACTGAAGCAGACAGGGGACAATACAACTGAGACACACTGATAGGACTGAAACTGAAGGAGACAGGGGACAATAAAACTGAGACACACTGATAGGACTGAAACTGAAGGAGACAGGGGACAATACAACTGAGACAGACTGATAGGACTGAAACTGAAGCAGACAGGGGACAATACAACTAAGACACACTGATAGGACTGAAACTGAAGGAGACAGGGGACAATAAAACTGAGACACACTGATAGGACTGAAACTGAAGCAGAGACAGGGGACAATACAACTGAGACAGACTGATAGGACTGAAACTGAAGCAGACAGGGGACAATAAAACTGAGACACACTGATAGGACTGAAACTGAAGGAGACAGGGGACAATACAACTGAGACAGACTGATAGGACTGAAACTGAAGCAGACAGGGGACAATACAACTAAGACACACTGATAGGACTGAAACTGAAGGAGACAGGGGACAATAAAACTGAGACACACTGATAGGACTGAAACTGAAGGAGACAGGGGACAATACAACTGAGACAGACTGATAGGACTGAAACTGAAGCAGACAGGGGACAATACAACTGAGACACACTGATAGGACTGAAACTGAAGGAGACAGGGGACAATAAAACTGAGACACACTGATAGGACTGAAACTGAAGGAGACAGGGGACAATACAACTGAGACAGACTGATAGGACTGAAACTGAAGCAGACAGGGGACAATACAACTAAGACACACTGATAGGACTGAAACTGAAGGAGACAGGGGACAATAAAACTGAGACACACTGATAGGACTGAAACTGAAGCAGAGACAGGGGACAATACAACTGAGACAGACTGATAGGACTGAAACTGAAGCAGACAGGGGACAATACAACTGAGACACACTGATAGGACTGAAACTGAAGCAGACAGGGGACAATACAACCGAGACACACTGATAGGACTGAAACTGAAGCAGAGACAGGGGACAATACAACTGAGACACACTGATAGGACTGAAACTGAAGCAGACAGGGGACAATACAACTGAGACACACTGATAGGACTGAAACTGAAGGAGACAGGGGACAATAAAACTGAGACAGACTGATAGGACTGAAACTGAAGGAGACAGGGGACAATACAACTGAGACACACTGATAGGACTGAAACTGAAGGAGACAGGGGACAATACAACTGAGACACACTGATAGGACTGAAACTGAAGCAGACAAGTGAGTCAAAGCTGAGGCAGAAACTGTCTACAATAATTGGACAGGTAACAAGTTCCCTTCAGACTAAGACTCTCTGACGCTCTTCATCTGAGGAGGACAGAGAGACAGACCTGTTGGACGGCTCCATCAAAGGACACGGACACCTCCGACACTCCTCCTTTGTTGGGTCGCCGTAGAAACCAGGAAGGCACTGATCACAGTGAGGACCGGCGGTGTTGTTTGTGCAGCCCTGCGGCAGACAGGTGAGGGTCAGCCGACTCCAGGTGGAGGTTGAACTTCGGGTCTTTGGTTGGGACTCACCTCACAGACCCCACTGATGTCACACTGAGTGGAGTGGGAATTGCATTCACACTGCATACAGTTGCCTCCGAACAGAACCCCGCCTACTCTGAAGAATCCCGGTAGGCAGGCCTGGAACGCACAAACGCCTGTTAGTCCAGAACCAGGAACCGGACTAAGGTTGGACGATTAGACGATTCTATCGTTGGAACATTTTGAGATATTGCCCAAACTTAAACCGGATCCTGGACCTTAAACCGGACCCTGGACCTTAAACCGGACCCTGGACCTTAAACTGAACCCTGGAACATCAGGTGAGAAACCACCAAAAGATCCAAGTCAGAAATCAAGTGAACTTGGAGCTGCTGACCTCGCAGGAAGTTCCACTGTAACCCGACGGACATTCGCACATCTCCACGGCGGCTGCCTGAAGACCAGAACCGGAGCCAGAGTCCGCTCCATCCAGGGACACTGAGCTGAGCCTGGAGATCAGGAGCAGATGGAAGAGTCATTGTTTGTTGTCTGGAAGGGCAGAAGCTCCTCCTCCTGATCCAGCTGGACGTTCCTCACCGTATCTGTCCTCCAGCAGAAGCGTTCAGGTGGACTCGGACCAATAGCGAGGTCAGATCAGCCAGAACCAGCATCAGGTCATCTCGAGTTATGGGACCACCGCTTTGATCGTCCACAAACTGCCGTGGAAGCATCTCCACACTGACAGACTGCTCAGCCAAGGGAGAGAGGAAGAGCAGCAGAGGGGGCGAGAGACGGAGAGTTTGGCCGTTACCCTGGAAACAGAATAAGACGACCCTTTGGTATTGGGTCTTTATGTCTGATGTCATAACAGCTTAGAAAGGCTGGGTTCTACCAACCATCTTCATTTAAACACCAGAACATCCCACAGCATAAAAACATGACCTTCATGAGATGGTTCAGTCCATCATGGTCCAACATCTCTACTCTTGTCTCATCTGTCCAGAGGACATTGTCCTTCTTCAGATGCAGCTTAGCTAACCTAGGTCCCTCTGCCACCATGTTTCTAGACACATTCAACCCTTACAGACTGGGTCTGGGCCATGACCTCTGACCTCTAACCACTCCAGTAAGGTCTACATGTGGGAACATTGGTTACTTTATCCCTCTGAAGAAGTGTAGATCTTAGGTATTCAGTTCAGAAACAATGTCTGTTAGCTGCCGCTGTGGCATGTTCTCACCTCCATGATGACATCAGCAAGGACAGGCAGAGTCTGGTCCTCATTGTCCAGGGGGACGTCATAAACCACAGAGCAGGTGAACTGTCCTCCATAGGACACCAGCTACCGAGAAGGAAACATTTAGCGGACATGGAAACATAACATGAAAAACATGAAAAAAGACATATAGTTCTGCTGCTATAGGCTTAGACTGTTGGAGGACATAGGGACCCCTTTTTCATCATTCTGCTTCATTCTATCTCTATTCTCCCACTCTGCAGAATCTGTTAGTTCAATCTCTAACGTTCTGCTCTCTCTGCTTTTTCTCATAGTAGCTTCATCTGGTCTGTTCCTGTTTGGCTGTGACTCCATCCTGGAGAGAAATATCAGCTGTGCTGCTGCCATCAACACCTTTGTTTCTAGATGTTGGAGCTTGGCCTGTTTTCCAGTGTAGTCCTGTTTCTCTGACTGTGACTAACTGGATGTGCTCTCTTCATCCTCTGACATGGGAGCTGGCTCGGAGCTCGTCTGCCTGGCTGTGTGTTTCCTGGACGGGGCCGCCTGTGGAGCTGGTTGACAGTTGCCTTTTGTATCTATGCTTCTTTTTCTACGTCTGCTTCTGTCTCCTTGAACCCCAGTGGGCCTCAGCAGATGGCCGCTCACACTGAGCCTGGTTCTGCTGGAGGTTTCTTCCTGTTCAAAGGGAGTTTTTCCTCTCCACTGTCGCTACAAGCATGCTTAGTGTGAGGGATTGCTGAAGAGTCAATGAGTCGATGCAATCAGCTGGTTTTCCTTAGATAGAAAACTTTGAATCAATCTGACTGGATGATCTGGTTGATTTGTTTCTATAAAGTGACCCGTTGTGAATTGGCGCTATAGAAATAAACTGAATAGAATTGAATGAAGATGCAATAATAACTGTGTCGGACATCGGACATGTGAGCCTACCTTGTTGCCAAGGAAACGGCTGGGGGCCGCCCACCAGAGCATGTGTCTGTGTGCGCCGCCAGAGGAGGCATTCCTGGGAATGCTGAGGTCATTCCCACTGATGACCAGAGAGGCTTGGAGCGACCCGGATGGTTGGAGGACAGCATCTGGGAAAAACACCTGAACACTGGACCTCATCAGAACCCGGTTCCCTGTTGATGTGGGACTGGTTCTGACCTGAGCAAAGGTGTGGGGTGTTACCTGAGTGACGGACCAAGCAGAGCTCTCACAGACATCAGAGACACCAAAACAGAAGCAGTGGGTGCAGCCCAGCGGGTTCTCCTGCTGCAGGTTATAGAAGCCCGGTTTACAGGTGTCACAGTGGACTCCCATCACATTGACCTGAGGAGGAGACAGGTGAGACGGTGACCCAGGGCCTCAGAGGCGTCTGCTGTGCGGTGTGGATCAGACGGATCGTCACCTTGCAGGTGCAGGGGCTGCAGGGGTCGCTGTTGGTGCTTCCTGCCAGGTTGCACTCACAGCGAACGCACCGCGGGAAGTCTCTGAATCCAAACGCACAGCGATCACACCGCTGACCCGAGAAGCCCTCCTTACACGGACACTGACCTGCAGACGCACCTGGACGCGCACAACAGAACCATCAGAGCCCCGGGGGGACATCACTGCTGACACCCGGAACCAGCCTTCAGAACCCATCAGAGGCACCTGCTTCTGCGTCGTCTCTGCTGCAAACCGGTGATTCGGATCCTCTCAGGTCACAGTTACACTCCAGGCAGGGGAAGTCAGAGTACGGAGACACCTGCAGTCACACAACGCCACTGATCACAACGCCACTGATCACAACGCCACATTTAACCAAACCAGCAGAACACAGAACCTCATCACAACTAAACGACACCTCAGCAGGTCTGTAGTATCCGTCTTTGCAGGTCTGGCAGTTGAGTCCCGTTGTGTTTTGTTGACAGTCGATGCAGACCCCGCCCCCCCGACGAACGCCATGGATGTCCAGACTGAGACTGAGGTCCGAAACCGTCTGATTGTAGAAACAGTCACTGGCCTTGTTGTGACAGTTACACTCTGAGTGACAGTAGGGGACAGAGAGGGGACAGAGAGGGGACAGAACAGGGACAGGTGGGGACAGAGAGGGGACAGGTCAGAGGACGGAGGTCAGCCCATAATGGGGATTTCTTTTTTGTTATCTTTCACGTTGTCTCACTTTCACAGGTGTTTCCTTCAGAGTGAGTTCCTGGTTGCCATGGCAGCTGATGGTAACCAGGGCAACACTTGTTACAGCTCTCCCCACAGGTGTTGTGTTCACACACACACTTCAGTTTCTGTTCAAACAAACAGGGCGCCATTTAGACCACCTGTACAACAGTATACAGGTGTTGTCTTACCAGCTGGGGTCTGCGGTTACCTTGGTAACCAGGTCCAGCGGGCAGCTCTGGGCGTGTCCGTAGCAGATGCACATCCCCCCCACAGAGATGTCCTTGATGGAGTAATAATACTGAAAGAAAAGCAGAGGAATGAGAGCAGAGCTGGATCCTGATGACGTCAGCGTACCTGCTGCCCGTCTTACCCTCCGAGTCACGATCGGGTCGATGTCCCGTGGGTCATAGATGCTTAACGTCATCAGGTCAGCGTAGAGCGTTCTGATTCGCTGAAGTCTCAGTCTGATATAACGAGCTGATGTAAAGTTCAGGAGGTCAGGGGTCAAATCCTCTGCTCCGGGACGCCCGTTAATCAGAGAGGTGTGGATCTGAAAGACAGGGAGAGGGACAGACAGGTTAAGGACATACAGACAGAGACAGATAGGTTAAAGACAGAAAGACAGACGGAGACAGACAGGTTAAAGACAGGGAGAGAGACAGGGACAGGGACAGACAGGTTAAAGCCAGATGGGCAGAGACAAACAGGTATAGGACAGGTGGACATCCTGTCTCACCTCTCCATTTTCCAAGGGGTTCAGTCTGGAGTAGTAGGACGTACAGATGACCTCAGTGTCGCTCCTGTAGGTGGGTGGTCCAAGTCTTGGTGTCACATTATAATGAGACAAACACTCCGAGTCACTGATGGCATAGTACTGCCAGGGGTCAAAGGTCACACCATCCAGGGAGCGCTCCAGGATCCAGTTACCTGACAGGTGATCATGGATAAACAGGTAAGAAGACATGCGGACAGCTGACCTGACCTAACGGTGCTTCTCCTACCTGGTCGTGGAGAGTTAGCTGCTTTGATGATGATGTAGGCGACCTGGAAGACCTGAACAGACACAAAGTCACAAGACCTGAGGAGGACTAGAGACGCCGCCGTACCTGAGCTACGTTACCATGGAAACATTAGGCTGCTGAGCTCAGAGAGGAAGGCTAGTGAAAATCCTGACCTCTGAAAACCAGAGAAGAGTTATTACTATCATGGGAAAGAACATTTAAAAAGTTACCATGGTAACCAACATGTGCTAAGCTAGTCAGATACCATACTAACCAGGCCAAGCTTAGGTTACCATGGTGACCGAGGCAGGTAAGCCTAACCACCTGCTATAGTAACAAACACAGGTTAGGTCAATTGTTTACTATGGTAATAGAGACTGATAAAACCTAGGCTGACTGTGGTTACCATGGTGACAGGAAGCTTTAGAGGCTGGTTTCCTGTTAGCTTAAAGTTCTAGTGTGGTTCTGACCTGCTTCAGGTCCAGGGTGATGGTTATCCAGTTAAACTGACGGCCATTCTTGATGCTCGGACTCTGCCACCACCTATTGGTTCCATCGATGGCGTTGGTGATTGGATGACGTTCTGCGTACAGGAGATAAACGTTACTATCCATCAGCTCAGGCTCCGCCCACAAACAGACCACTGTTGACCAGTGATATCAAGGAAGGAAGGAAGGAAGGAAGGAAGGAAGGAAGGAAGGAAGGAAGGAAGGAAGGAAGGAAGGAAGGAAGGAAGGCAGGCCTTTGTTACCTTTAGACAGGACGGAGTTGGCGTCACATTTGGGGCAGTGTGGGTTCTTGATTCTTCGTCCAGGAACGTGATCAACAAGCTTACAGTAGACCTCTGGTTCTGGATCTCCACACGTAGCATTGCTGCTGATCTCTGCATTACTGGCAAGATTAAAGATGGCAGGAAACAACCCTGGAACACAGAGAGAGAACCATTAGGATGGATGGATGATGGATGATGGATGGATGATGGATGATGGATGGATGGATGATAGATGGATGGATGGAAGGATGGATGGATGATGGATGGATGGTAT